AACTACCTCCTCAGCTTCCGTGACTTCGAAGTAATAATAATAATATATTTGTCGACGAATTTGACCGATTGAACATACATCGAACAACCATCTAAGCAAAAAAATGATATTTGAACAGAATTAAATTCGTCAATTCAAAGAATTAAAATGTCATGAACGCAGCACACTCACAATATGAGCTCTGAACAGATTTCAGACTAAATGAAACAAATTCAAGATACTAAACCTTAGATCAAATGCGTCAAATAAAGTACAATCGCAAGATGATCTTGATAGTTTAGTTAAATGGGCTGATACGTGGCAGCTGCGGTTTAATGCTGACAAGTGTAAAGTACTTCATCGCAGGAGGAACAATGAACACCAAGATTACAGTATGAGAAGTCATGGTTGCAACGAGAGAGTATTGGTTGAAAAGTCTGGCATGGAAAGAAAAAGATTTGGGAGTTTATGTCGACAGGGAGCTGAATTTTTCAAGATATTTTGAAACGCAAGCTAATAATAAATCCAACAAACTTCTTGGACTGATTAGACGCTCTTCCGAGTTCCTACATACAGAAACGATAAAGCAGTTGGTTGTTGCTGTCGTGCGCCCGAACCTAGAGATTGGAAACGCCGTGTGGTCACCGAAACTTGAAAAAGACAACAATTTCGTATGTAGTGTTAAAAGACTTGCAACAAGGATAATTCCAGGCTTGAAGGGCAAGTCTCACGAAGAAAGGTTAAAGAATGTTAAGCTTCCAAACCTTGATGTCAACTATTAATTAGTATCAATATAGCACTATCGGTTAGAGATCTTTAGCACTGATTCTCATAAGAGACTATAAAGCAATGCTTGGTGTTTCGGTTTCTTCCAGCCAAAGTAAACCTAAAACAAATGAATATTTTCAAAGAATGAATCTATATATATAATCATTAAAATGATTTCAATTTATAAATTTTAATTGGAAGAATTTTAACCAGTGAAACGGCTAAATTTTTTATAAAGTTTATTGACATATCAACTGGATCAGCAAGAATACCCATGTCCACCCACGAGTCATGATAAGCGAAGATATTAACTCCTGACAATCGAGTGCAATCTTCTATGGAATCATTATAAACTATCTCTAGCGTTACAGTGGACTACGAATAATTTTCATATACATAACTAAACAGTTCTCTACATAGATGAAAAAAGTTTGGTCTTATTTCGTCCCACTTCATATTCATTGAAGTTGAGTATGATTTCCTTCACCAGATGCCGGATCCCACAGAGTATAGTGTTTTACTCATTCTCGAATTTTCTATTTTATTTAATCCCACACTCCGCGGGCTTTATAAATTTTCTCTATAGTTCTAAAGCTCGCAAAGCGCCATAGCAAACACCGTACACATCACGCGTAGCTTTCAAACGATCTAAAAGCCATCGGAACTGGTGCAGGATTGGTTAAATTTATAGATACGAAGCTATTTTCTTCAAATTTACAAATGTCACATGGTTAATTTAAAATCAATAATAATATAATTACCACAGAATGCACTGCGATTGAACTCTTGATTCGAAAACTCTCTCTTAAAAAACACTATCTCTTGATTGAATTGTATTTTTTTTAAACATATTGAAACCTTCTGACAATAAAATTTGAAAAAATGGTTTCTGTGCAAGCAAAATGAAAACAATTCGCTTGAATGTCTTAAAAAAAATTTCAACCGCTGGACTTTTAAACTACGTATTCCGGATGAGGGCATTCATCATATATGAATACTCGCATTTCCTGAATTTACTCATGCTGAAAGTATATACGTGTAACATGGCAATTTACATACACAATTGACAGATGTAACATTTAGTGCAGCGTCAAAGTGAAACTTATCAACTTTGACAGCTGAAAACATCTTAAGATGCAACAAGTTCATAGGTTGATCTCAAACACTTGAAGGCGCAACAAAAACATATCGTTTAAAATATAGCCTAAAGAATAAAACTAAGCTGTCTTGCTAATTCTAAGATAATTATTATGTATTCATATCTTTGGTATACGATTCTACATTTATTCATGGTTTACATTAACCTATTATTTAAATGAGTTATAATGTAACACAGTGACGTCGACCTGTAATTCGACTTCTTGAAAAGCATTCAAGGTGGAATTTTTCAAAATTGTATTAGACTATTGAAACACGCAGCCACTTATATACGTCATATGCACCAGGAAAGTATATACCTGCATGATGTACGACATTCATGTTATCCGATGTTCGTAAAGTCGTACGTATTTTACGGACATAATTACATTTTTAAGGATGCATGTCGTGACAACTGTCGTAGGCATTAAATACTATTGTCCCCAAGAACAACATTCGCAGCATCAAAACAATTAAGCATCCGACGACATAGGCAAAATAGGTGCGATTTCGCGCAGGAAACTAAAAAAATTTAGACGATTAATTCAGTTCGAACTGGCACTGTTCAAATACATTAATTGCAAAATTCTATCTACACATCAGGCCGCTGACTCCGAACATTTTTTCTATCAGAACAAATGTTCACCGAGCCCAAAGTTTGAAATTAAATCAAGATGCATGTATTCTGCTTACAATCTGCAGATTGCACGCGAACATCGAAGCGTGTTCTCATGTTAAATTTTATAAATCGGAAGTTACACCTGCCTCTTTCTCTTACATGTTTACATCGTGGAAATGTTATGAGCTAAGTGATGACAAGTGAGATTCATAATAATTGAAGGCATTACATAAGCATTCCTGCAAACGATCACGGGAGATACTCATTTCGGTGGGTGAGGACATTCCTCGATGAACGAACAATCAACGACGTTACTTTATCAACACACATAAACACAGATACATATTAAAGAGATCATACATATTCTACAATAGGAAACGTTCATCATAAAGCTTTCGAGTTGGAATAAATCTTTGGAGTCAGAGAGTAATTTACATTTATTGTTTGTGATGATCTTCATTTTTGGGTAAAGTGGGTCGAGAATTATCTGCCGAGGCTATTAGTTACCGTTCGTGGCAACATTTTTATCATTACCTCTGACACAATACATTCAGTGTTCGCCCTCCAAAATATATCAATTGAAAAAATGAACATTTAATCGAAGCACCAGCAATCCTGAGACACATTCAAGCTAACACACCGGTATAAATAACCAACTTCGAAAATATTTCTAAATAAGCGTAGATCTGAAAATAACACTAAGCTAATAAAAGGCTTAGCACAATATTTGAAACTGTTTTCTGCCGTTCATAGAAAATAAACGGCCAAAGTCGAGCTAAAAATACGTTTATTTTTTTCTACGGAATTTAACACGATTTTTCAAGGACCATCCCTCCAGAGAAATTGATTTGATCATGGAAATAAAGGCTCAAAATTTTCACATAGAAGGTCGACATTCTTTCAGATTTTTTTGCCAAATGCAGGCAGACTACTCGGTGGAAAACACGAAAACATTGCTAGCCAGTGCGTTGAAACCTGAATTTAGTAGACACTAAGCGCTTCAGACGGATTATGGCTGCGTGGGGCGACAGGCAACCACACACAAATCCACGGCCATTTATCAACTGCACCTCGTAAATCAGGATATATAAGTGATAAAAACTTTTCAGGTAATAATTGTGACGGCATTAAAGAGATTAAAATTTCATATAATCTTGAAAATATCGATGGCAATGGAAGGGAGGATGGCTAGCTGTTACTGATTAGCTGCCAATTTTGAATACGGCGATACTCCAAAATTCAACTATATTTCAAAGCAAGTAATGAACTTAAAACCTGCACCGCACGATGTAAAAAAAATTTTTCTGAAAACTACAAGAACTGTGGCTCATATCACATCGTCCTTAGCTTGATCAGTAGAGTAGTTAAGGTTCAAAGAATAGAGTTCCGACACGTATGAGTTTTTAAGTGTCAAAATGTAAGTCTCCCACGCGATAAGTTATTGAGTCGAGCGATAAGTTGTGTTGACCGCACATGATGATTACTCAAAAACAAGCGTGCAATGAGATCTTTGTTCCTGCATACAAAATTGCATGGTTCATCGATTTTTTTTGTGTTATTAGGCATTGGAAATAAGACAAACGATGAGGAGCGAGTGTTGTTTCTACAACTCGTATCAGCTAAGAAGAGCAGGAGTTAACAAACTCTAAGCTGATGAAGGCTAGAAATATCTAGCCCTCTCGAGTTACAACATCGACCTCAGATATTCTTACGTGAGTTTTCTATTTCATATAAGCGATATTTTTCAACATTTTCATCAGGAGGAGGAAAAAGCGCGACGACATTGAAATTCTTCAAGGCGAACTGAAGAGAAATGGATGCTCTGGGGTAAAATTCTCAAAATTACTCACGATGAGAGAAACTTTGCGCTTCATTTCTGCATTCATGGACATTTTCATGAAAATTAACTTCGATTGACTTTTTGGAGATGCATTTCTTAAAATTTCGCCTACATCGGTGCAAACCGTTTTCTCCTGGTCTTAACTTTACAATCTCCTTCGAAAATTTACTAAACTGCTTCAAAAAAGGACATATACACCAGATCATCGTAATTATTTTCGAGAATATTGCTCCAGAAGATCATATTGATATGACATATTTTAGCATTAAATAATTCAACATAATCTCAAATCAGCAAGAGCACAACATCTTCACAACATCTTCGGCATTGAAGAATAGGCCTGGATAGGCCTGTCACCGATTCTTTTATTTTTCTCGACTAGTTCACCGATCTACAGTGACCTTTCGAAGAGATATTTTTCTTTGTTTTTTGATCTTTATTGGTTTTTGATATGACATATTTTAGTAATAAATAACTCAAAATAATCTTGAATCAACAAGGGCACAACCGCAGAGCAAAATGAAAATAGTCTGGTCAAAGGCCTAGCCTCGGTAATTGAGAAATACAAAGGAACAGATTCAAGTGTGACCGGGATATATAAAATATTTCAATGAGAACAATAATGAATGGTAGTTTAAATGATAAGTATCGCAGCACTCACCGTATTTGTCCGGCCAGCAGCGGGTTGATGGCATACAGCCAGTCCTGCATGTCGCGGTCGCTGAGCGTCTGCAGCAGATAACCTCGCTGCTTCGTCATCACCCTGACCAACAACAACGATGCTATTACAGGTGATATCATTATCATTATCATTCATTTTTATATTATTTAAATTTTGAACGTACTGATTTTTTGTTTTAATGCAACACAATTAGATATAAGAAACTCTGAGCATCGCCTCCTGGTGCTCACCTGAACGAGTTGGGCACTCTGAGCATCACCTCCTGGTGCTCACCTGAACGAGTTGGGCACTCTNTCAGGCGCAGCGTGTTATGCGTGTAGGGACATTCAGGCGCAGCGTGTTATGCGTGTAGGGACATTCAGGCGCAGCGTGTTATGCGTGTAGGGACATTCAGGCGCAGCGTGTTATGCGTGTAGGGACATTCAGGCGCAGCGTGTTATGCGTGTAGGGACATTCAGGCGCAGCGTGTTATGCGTGTAGGGACATTCAGGCGCAGCGTGTTATGCGTGTAGGGACATTCAGGCGAAGCGTGTTATGCGTGTAGGGACATTCAGGCGCAGCGTGTTGCGGGCAGCGTGTTATGCGTGTAGGGACATTCAGGCGAAGCGTGTTATGCGTGTGTAGGGACATTCAGGCACAGCGTGTTATGCGACTATGCGCCGTCCACTAGCGACACCGAGACTTTAACTGAACTTCCCGGGGCTCGAACCCACGTCTACGTAGCTCCTCCATCTCGGTGCCGCTCTACCGTCGTCACTGCGCATACAGCGGCCCTATAACCACTGCGCTGCAGTGACGCACATTTTGTCATTGTTTTGATAACAAATTGGACGCAACTAGAACTAGTATCGTTTTCTGGCCCAGAACTAGCATCGTTTTCTGACCCAAAAACTAGTACGTTTCTGACCCAGAACTAGTATCGTTTTCTGACCCAGAACTAGTATCGTTTTCTGACCTACAAGGCTACAACTAGTATCGCTTTCTGAGCAGAACTAGTCTCGTTTTCTGACCCAGAACTAGTATCGTTTTCTGACCCAGAACTAGTATCGTTTTCTGACCTACAACTAGTATCTCTTTCTGAGCAGAACTAGTCTCTTTTTCTGACCCAGAACTAGTATCGTTTTCTGATCCAGAACTAGTATCGTTTACTGACCTACAACTAGTATAGTTTTCTGACCTACAACTAGTACCTATCACTTTCTGACCAGAACTAAAACACACGCGGACACTTACACTCATAGCCTAATCTATGTTACCCTATTAGAACCACTATTACATATATTAGAACACTAACATAAGCAATAACGTAAGACTCACCACCCAGCGCTTAACCCAAGAGTTGGTGCGGTTGTCGAGGACGTTGAGGTATCCTTTCCTGGACACCACGGGCGAGATGCGAACTTCTTCCACCTCGCAAATAAACTGTGGTCCTTGCATGCCTGGTGAACACAGGAATAAATAAGTTAGGTTAAGCTTCTTTGTGATGAACTTTTCAAATATACTATATACTATCCGACAGGAGGTGATATTAAGGAAGAAATTTTATAAACGATGAGGTATTTAGTTCGTTCACTATGTGACCAAATTCAAACTGCTACGGTACGTTAATTTTCAAAGTAAACGGCAACAAGATGATTTTAAAGGCAATATGAACGTTAAATTTTAAAGTAATGATTTCAGTGGATGATGTATAGCTCGTCGTACCAACGAGCGGCGAGGAGGTGCGAGAGTCGTCGGGTGAAGGAGGAGCAGAATCACGAGCAGACTTCTGCTGCAGCTGCTGCTCGTGCTGCTGCAGGCTCGCTGAACCACCTAGTGGGATCTGCTCGTCCGGCTCAACCACAGCGGGGACAAGGCTCGGCTCACTGAGAATATGTTTTTAAATTAAGTTTAAATTGCAATATGGGTAGAAAATTCAGCTGAAATATTTTTTTAATTTAGTTTTGCATTACAGTATGAGTAGAAAAATTAGTGCTCTAAGAATGCGAAAAAAGAAAATTTCAATCGCGGTTTATAGGGAAAGTAAAATAGTGGAAGTACAGAAATATCTTTGGTAAAGAAAAGGTAATTGAAAGCTGCAGCTATGGACAACGCTGCATGTTTTTCCCCCACAATGAATAACCCAGTAAGAACATACACAGCTGTTGAAATGAACGTCCCTAAAGTTGATTATTGACGAGAAAAATCTTCAGGCTGCATTACCTTGAGCAACTAATCTACTCTACAACTGGAAAAATGTGATAAAAATTATATAAAGTTCAATCCAGTCGTGAGAGAGATGCTCATCATTCTGTTCTACGTATATCATAATACGTATTAAAGTTACTATTTCATACAAAAATAACATTTCTCGCCCTTACCACTGAGCCTCCGACACCGGCATCTGCGTCGAGTCTGTGTCCTTCTCATCAGAGGGCGTGGTGGGCGCCTCAAGGGGCGGCTCTTGGGCGGGGCGCCCTTGCATGAGGCGCACGTACTTCATAAGGAGCTGCTTCTGCGCCTCCGTCAGGTTCTCGGAGTCTACGGACCCGTTACTGGTGAGACTCGCCATGCGTACCGGGGAACTTTGTGCGGCTTTAGCCGCGAGATTCGCAACTTCTTTTTCACTTTTGGTGTAGTCGTGATGATGCGCGACGACGGTGGTGGCAGGAGGCGGAGGTGTAGGTTTGTTATTGTACAGGGCATCAGCAGCAAGCTTAGACGCCAGCAGGATCCTGTGTCGGGTGGCTTCGACGTCCGCAAGGCGCTTGATCTTCTCAAGCTCCCACTGGTGCTCGAAAATAAGCGAGTCTCCCCGCGGCCGCCAGCCGTGCAGGTTCTCCTCTCCTCGCACGTACGTGCTGCTCGTGTCCAGCACACGACGCTGGCGCCGCTGCGTGCCTGAGAAAAAAAAACAATGACACTTTAAAAGTAAAAAAAGCTGGGCCACACGAACGACAAATGAAAAATAAATAAACTATGCCACGCAAACGACAAATTAAAAATAAATAACCTACGCTACAGAAATGAAAATCTAAATATAAATAACCTATGCTACACAAATGACAAATTATCGCCGTCGTAAAAAAGGCTGTCACTATTTCGACAATATTGCCCATTCATTTTTCAAACTTTGCCCCTGCCATGCAACTATCGAATAACAACGAGAATCTGGTGGCCGACGTACCGGCCTCAGAGGCCCGTTTGAGGTAGGCCTCGTAGACGCCGGTGATGCGGTTGGCCTCAGGCCCATACTTGTAGGCCTCGCTGAAGNCGCAGTCACACGTCAGCTATACGCAGTCACATGTCAGCTATATCGCAGTCACATGTCAGCTATACGCAGTCACACGTCAGCTATACGCAGTCACACGTCAGCCATACGCAGTCACACGTCAGCTATACGCAGTCACATGTCAGCTATACGCAGTCACATGTCAGCTATACGCAGTCACACGTCAGCTATACGCAGTCACATGTCAGCTAAACGCAGTCACACGTCAGCCATACGCAGTCACATGTCAGCTAAACGCAGTCACACGTCAGCTAAACGCAGTCACACGTCAGCCATACGCAGTCACACGTCAGCTATACGCAGTTACACGTCAGCTATACGCAGTCAGATGCTGCAATACGTCAGTCATACACAGTCACACGTCAGCTATACGCAGTCACACGTCAGCTATACGCAGTCACACGTCAGCTATACGCAGTCACACGTCAGCTATACGCAGTCACACGTCAGTCACACGCAGTTACATGCAGCAACACTCAAACGACACTTCAGTAATAGGATTGTAACACCAAAATAACAAGGCAGAAAAACTCCAGTAACACGTAGACAGTATGCCAGTAACACGACAACATCAGTAACACGTCAGTAACACGTTATCGATACGTCGGCACAAGCAACGTTTGGTTGCAACCAAAACACAAGTTACGGTCGAGTGATAACTCTTGTTATCAGTCTTTAATTTGGTGAGCCGTGACATTCATGTGCAATGACATTCATCCATCACGATAATCATCCTTCATGGCATTTAAATGCATTAATATTTCATTTCACGATCATTTATAGTGTATTAAATCATTTTTGAATCAGGATAATAAAAAATGACAGTTAAATTCAAAAGTCAATCATGCACACATTTTATCATTGTTTTGATAACAAATTGGACGCAACTAGAACTAGTATCGCTTTCTGACCTAGAGCTAGTATCTTTTATGACCTAGAACTTGTATGGTTTTCTTATCTCGAGCTAATAGGTATCGCTTTCTTAGCAGAACTAAAACACACGTGGACACACACTCATAACAATATTTGTATTAATTCTAGCAATACGTAAGCAGCGTAATACTCACGAAACGTAAGAGTAATATAAGCAATAACGTGAGACTCACCACCCATCGCTTGACCCAAGTGTTGGTGCGGTTGTCGAGCACGTTAAGGTATCCCTTCCTGGACACCACGGGTGAGATGCGAACTTCTTCCACCTCGCAAATAAACTGAAAAAATCTTCAGGCTGCATTACCTTGAGCAACTAATCTACTCTACAACTGGAAAAATGTGATAAAAATTATATAAAGTTCAATCCAGTCGTGAGAGAGATGCTCATCATTCTGTTCTACGTATATCATAATACGTATTAAAGTTACTATTTCATACAAAAATAACATTTCTCGCCCTTACCACTGAGCCTCCGACACCGGCATCTGCGTCGAGTCTGTGTCCTTCTCATCAGAGGGCGTGGTGGGCGCCTCAAGGGGCGGCTCTTGGGCGGGGCGCCCTTGCATGAGGCGCACGTACTTCATAAGGAGCTGCTTCTGCGCCTCCGTCAGGTTCTCGGAGTCTACGGACCCGTTACTGGTGAGACTCGCCATGCGTACCGGGGAACTTTGTGCGGCTTTAGCCGCGAGATTCGCAACTTCTTTTTCACTTTTGGTGTAGTCGTGATGATGCGCGACGACGGTGGTGGCAGGAGGCGGAGGTGTAGGTTTGTTATTGTACAGGGCATCAGCAGCAAGCTTAGACGCCAGCAGGATCCTGTGTCGGGTGGCTTCGACGTCCGCAAGGCGCTTGATCTTCTCAAGCTCCCACTGGTGCTCGAAAATAAGCGAGTCTCCCCGCGGCCGCCAGCCGTGCAGGTTCTCCTCTCCTCGCACGTACGTGCTGCTCGTGTCTAGCACTCGACGCTGGCGCCGCTGCGTGCCTGAGAAAAAAAAACAAGACACTTTAAAATTAAAAAGCTGGGCCACACAAAAGACAAATGAAAAAGAAATAACCAATGCTACGCAAGTGAAAAATAAAAATAAATAACCTATGCTACACCATGACAAATTAAAAATAAATAACCCATGCTAAACCAATGACAAATTAAAAATAAATAACCTATGCTTCACAAACGACAAATTAAAAATAATTAACCTATGCTTCACTAATGACAAATTGAAAATAAATAACCTATGCTACACAATTGACAAATTATCGCTTTCGTAAGAAAGTCTGGCACTATTTTGACAATATTGCCCATTCAATTTTCGAGCTTTACCCCTGTCACATAATCATTTAGCAACAACCAGAATCTGTTGGCCGACGTACCGGCCTCAGAGGCCCGTTTGAGGTAGGCCTCGTAGACGCCGGTGATGCGGTTGGCCTCAGGCCCATACTTGTAGGCGCCGCTGAAGAGCGAGCGCAGAGACCGCGGCATGGCGCGCGAGTCTCGCCCGTACAGCACGAGACACAGGTCCTTCGTGATGGTCAGGGGCTGCACGCAGTTCTCCAGCTGCCAAGATTATCAGATTATTATTAATATTGTTATTATTATGATATTAGTGTTAGGGCTTATAGCAAATGTTATGTTAGCAGTGGTCAGCCAGAGGAAATATCATCATCAGCCCGCTGATAAACGTTCACCTATGATAACAGTTGCAAGCCGTGGGGAAAATTAGTAAGATTGAATATTACAATTTCATTTGGGAATATTGATAACATTGACTTTTTCAAGTAGTTTTTTAGGACGCATTCAATAAAGTATATTTAAGGGTAACGAAAGAAAGGAAGTAAGGACCTGGAGGTAAGCCGACACGGTCATGTAGATGGTCTCCCCGTTGGGCGTGACGCGGTTCAGCAGCAGCGAGTTGTGCAGGGAAGAGTCCCAGGCAGCTTCAAACCTGGAAATCCAGCGTTGTAAAACAAAATCAGCCATAAATTCTGCAAATTTAGCAGGCGTGACTGAAAAATCAGCAACAAATTTAATCACAATGCGGAGTTTTGTCAAGAATAAACGTTCGTTTTATCAAATCTTACAAAACAGTAAAAAAGTAAGGCATGTCATGCAAATAACCTTATAATCTTTAAACATTACAGACATTGATTGTGAAGCGTTGGTTGATCGACACTCACGCAAATATAACTTCAATGATACCAACACTATATCCTCATCTATATAACTTAAACCCAATACAAACAGTCAATTAAGCTTCGAAGCATAAATGCATAATTATAAGTATTTATCGAGGCGTGTTTGTACAATTTTCATTCAGCAACAAATTAGCGTAATTGCAAATTTGTGTCAAATTTGCGTCAAATAACATTGCGTCAAATTTGCATAATTGCAAATTTGCGTCAGCAACAAATTTGCGCAGCGTGCAGAGTACCTGAAGAGCGTGCGGTCCTCCCCTGGCAGCTCGAGGTACTCGCCAGGGAAGATCCCCAGCGAGTGCACGGAGGTGTCGCTGTTGTCGTCATCGTGGCTCTCAGGCGTGTTGCGTATGCGGCCTGTGCGTACAGAGGGGTCAGTACGTCAGCTATACGCAGTCAGGTGCTGCAACACGTCAGCCATTAGCAGTCACACGTCAGTTATACGCAGTAACAGGCCAGCCATACGCAGTCACACGCCAGCCATACGCAGTAGCAACAACAGCAACACGTAAACAGTATGCCAGTAACATAACAACAACATCAGTAACACATCAGTAACACGTTATCGATACGTCGGCACAAGCAACATTTGGATGCCACCAAAACACAAGTTACGGTCGAGTGATAACTCTTGTTATCAGTCTTTCAAATACAAATATTTTTGACAGCAACTACTGTATAAGTAAACAAAATGAAGCAGTAACGCGTGAGGTTGACGGTAATTACTGTATCAACGAAAAATAAAGTTACGTGGTTACCCTTGTTACCAGTCTTTCAAATATGAGTATTATTCACGGTGATTACTATTTTCAAATATGAATATTATTGACAGTAAGTACAGTATAAGCAGATACAAATGAAGCAGTAACACTATCAACGAAAAATAAAGTTGCGTGGTTACCCTTTTTACCAGTCCTTCAAATAAGAATATTATTGACGGTAATTACTATTTTCAAATATGAGTATTATTGACGGTAACTACTGTATAAGTAAACAGAAATGAAGCAGTACCGCGTGCCACTGACCAATAACAAGCTCCTGCACGTCGCGCCACACGAGGTCGTGTGTGTTCTCATGCACGATGGTGATGCGTATGCGGCGCTGGATGCCCTGATGCAGCAGGTGCAGGTCACGACAAGCCAGGTCAGTGCCGTGGTCCACGGCCGCAGGCAGGTATTCGCCGTTGGGGGCTGCACGACATATATCTTTCAGTCGAGTATGGTACAATTTATTGCCTTAATTAGGCTCCGACATAAAATTTTAAGAGGGAAAACATAAGAACGAGGTTAGTAAATGATGATTTTTTATGCCAGCTTGAATTTCGAGCGCCTGTCGCAAAAATAGGTACTTAAACCACCTGAGTATCACAAATTGTAAAGAAGGAATAAAAACATACGAGATTAGAAGCATGGTAAAGGTTAATATTTTCAGACTTAATATTCAGAACATAACCTGCTCTCATCGTTTGGAAACTTCAAAATTCGAAACTGTTTAACATTAGCTTTTGAAGATGGCGGCGTTCAGCTGCTCAGAAATCTCAACATTTACTCACCCAGCTCGCAAATCTCAACGTTGACTCACCCAGCTCGCAAATCTCAACGTTGACTCACCCAGCTCGCAAATCTCAACGTTTACTCACCCAGCTCGCAAATCTCAACGTTGACTCACCCAGCTCGCTAATCTCGACGTTTACTCACCCAGCTCGCAAATCTCAACATTTACTCACCCAGCTCGCAAATCTCAACATTTACTCACCCAGCTCGCAAATTTCGACGTTGACTCACCCAGCTCGCAAATCTCAACGTTTACTCACCCAGCTCGCAAATCTCGAACCAGACGAGGAGGTCATGTCTGGCGTGCACCTGCGAGGTCGTCGGGCACTGAAGTGTGCCGAACCTGGCTGACCGAACTGGCTGGCTGATGGGGATGGCTGGTGGCTGCAGCCTTTTCGGCGCTACACGGCTGAGAAATTTGATAGGTAAAATCAGCCACACGGCTGTGAAGATAAATTGTTATATCAGAGATTTTAATAGGTAAATTCAGCCATATGGCTGAGATAATATATTGGGACATATGATATTTGATTCTCATCCTCATGGCTGAGAATATAAGTTCGTACATTTGAGATCACAATCAGCCACATTGTTGAAGGAAAAATCAACCATCCAACTAGTAAAAAAAATTTACACGATAGCTCAGCTAAAGAACAGCACTTGAACAGTAAATGCATCGAGCTTGCAATCTAAATGTTAATTAACGTGTTAACTGAGAGTGATAACTGAGCATCCACGAGAGCAGGTTGTGTGGTGCCTAAGAGCTCCTCGATTGCTTGTTGTTTGCTCTGTTGCCTTGCACGTGCGTTGCTCCCATACCGAACTGGCTGGCTGATGGGGATGGCTGGTGGCTGCAGCCTTTTGGGCGCTACACGGCTGAGAAATTTGATAGGTAAAATCAGCCACACGGCTGACAAAATAAATTGGTATATCTGAGATTTGATAGATAAAATCAGTCACAAGGCTGAGATAATAAATTGGGACAAATGATATTTGATTCTCAGCCACATGGCTGAGAATATAAGTTCGTACATTTGAGATCACAATCAGCCACATTGTTGAGGGAAAAATCAACCATCCAACTAGTAAAAAAAAATTTACACGAGAGCTCAGTTAAAGAACAGTACTTGAACAGTAAAGGCATCGAGCTTGCAATCCAAATGTTAATTAACGAAGGAATGCATTTATTAAACAATGTCGCTACAAACCATAACTGAATATACGTGGATCAGGTATAAGCCAATTGCATTCGATTTGCATAACCCCTTACGAATATTTATATATTCGATGACTGCTAAAATGGAGATATTGAAATAGAATTAGTAGACTCTAAATTTCACCAATTCTTCAATGGGCTGAGTTTGGCAAAACAACTTCTATGTTCCTGTTCTCACCACATTCTTATAATGATATTATTCGAATGATAACGCTTTGCTATATGTTTTAGCGATACTGTCCTAACGATATCTCTCTGATGATATTATTCTCATAACAGTGTTCTAATGATATATTGTATCAATAATATTGTTCCGATTAAATTGTTCTAATGATACTGTCTCACATATATTATTCTAATTAAAGAGTTCTATTGATATTTTCCTTCTAATTATACTGTGCGAATGGCTGTGTTCTAATGCTACTGATCTAATTATACTGTACGAATGATACTGTTCTAATGCTACTGATCTAATTATACTGTACGAATGATACTGTTCTAATGCTACTGATCTAATTATACTGTACGAATGACAGTATACAGTAATTATATTGATCTAATTATACAGTACGAATGACAGTGTCCAAATAATACTGATCTAACTATACTGTACGTATGACAGTATACTAATAATACTAATTCAATTATAGATACTGTACGAATGACAGTGTTTTTAAGATACTTATCTGATTACACTGTACGTATGACAGTGTTCTAATTATACTGTACGAATGACAGTGTTTTAAAGATACTGATCTAATTATACTGTGCGAATGATAGTGTTGTAACGATACTGATCTAATTATACTGGACGAATGACAGTGTTCTAATTATACTGATCTAATTATACTGTAGGAATGACAGTATCCTAATAATACTGATATAATAATATTATTGCAAAGCTAAGACCGCAACTCACGGGTGCGGAGGCTCGGTCTTAAGGCGCTGCTGGGGGTCGTGGTGGCCGAGCATCTCGAACACGACAGGCTGCGTGCGCAGGTATTCGATGAACGCCTTCGTCACTGTCACGGTAATCTGCATAATGCAAATTCGCGCTTTTCTTAATGATAAAGTGCAATACTATGAGTATAAAATAACATTTGCAAGTTATCCTAGATGTGTGGAAATGTTAGTAGTGGAAATGTAAATGCGCAATTAACTCCTAATATTAAAAACTCTAACATTATCTCGAGTGCTGCGTTCTAAGTTGTGACTTTACGTCACAGCGGGAACTCACAACGATGAGTGCCAAAGAAGATTCGGAATTTAAGTCAGAAGATTATTGCAATTGCGAAATAAAAGGAATGTAACATTAGAGATAATAATTTCAATAGGCAAAAGACATATGAGGCTTGTAGTGACTTATTTCGATCTCTACCACTACCGAGGTCCGGAGGTAAAACTTGTAAGGAAGAAATATGTACATCGAGGAAAGAATACTTTCATCCGAATGTCGCGCTATATGAAAGTATCACACGTTCTGGATAACCGAATCGCATTGATATAATGGAAGTACTTATAGAATGGAATTCAAGCTTTGAATACACAAAAAAATGATACGTCAACGACCTGGCGTTCTCAAGTTCAAGAAACGTTTTTACGATTCTTAATCGAGTCAGGCAACGTTCCTCAAGTTCTCAATCAAGTTCTGGCAAGGTTTCTCAAGTTCTCAACCGAGTTCTGGAAGGTTTAGTAGTATAGTATAGTATAGTGTAAAGGAATTGAGTGCAGGACCGACTCCAATTGGGTCCGAAGAATTAACCCTAAGCTGCCACCGAACCTCAACGAAGGAAATGAAAACCAAATACCCTTAAATTTACTAAAACGAGCACTAACAACGAAAGCACATAGTGGAACTAACTAGCGAAAACACTAACACGAAAATAACTAGCGAAAACACTAACACGAAAATAACTAGCGGAACATTCTAAACACGAAAATAAATATTGAAACAATCAATCCTAATCTAAATGACGGAAGGTGGAGTGGACCACGGGGTACGGGGCCCGACGGTAGGTAGAGTAGTAGGGGCACACAGTACGGAGGCACAGCCGCAGTCGAGGTGCACAGCACCAGTCGAGGTGCACAGCACCAGTCGAGGTGCACAGCAGCAGTCGAGGTGCACAGCAAATAGTATAGTATAGTATAGTATAGTATAGTATAGTATAGTATAGTATAGTATAATATCTTCGGCATTGAAGAATAGGCTTGTCGCCAATTCTTGTACTTTTCTTGACTAGGTTTGCCTAAGTTCCCAATCAAAGTCTGGGAACGTTCCAAATTCTTAACCAAGTTCTATGTAAAGTTCTCACGTTCTGCACGTAGTAGAAGCCCAACGGCGGCCCCTTGCAGGTGTTGCTGATGGGTTCCGTGGAGAAAGCTTCGTCGTGTCGGTGTCGGAAGCTGGAGAAAATTCCCATGAGTGCATTACAAAGTGAGATAAAAGCTGGGAATGAGCAGAGGTTATAACATTTTAGTCTCTTTTATCGTGAAATAAAAACAGTCAAATTTTGCTTTTTGACTTGACACAACAATCATACTTGTTTCAAGAGTTATGCCAAATATCTTTTTAAAAATATTGTACTAAATATGATTTTGCGCGCAAAATGTTGGAGCGTATGAATATTAGCCTGCAGAATAAATCCATGACCGACACTTACAAAAGTCCACCCGTCAAAAAACTGAGTAAGCTGACAATGACATGCTCTTACGATTGATAGAAGTTTGTTCAAAGTTGACATGAACTGCAGAAGACGCTATTTGCATGCATAATATAAAAAATCTGAAAGTTAATTATTTGAAGTGGCATCAATTGACATTACCAAGCCGCCTTTCAACAACTCTATAGACATACACTCCATCCTTGAAATTTAATGAACATGTCGATGACATGAATCTTCATTTACACATTACCTTTCAACCACAATATTGCCCTACTCTCCATTCCCTCAAAATACAGTAATCTTCCAGAATAACTCTAAATGCAATGAATTTATTATTATTATTATTTCTATTCTTAAAAATTATTTAAACTATGTCATTGAAATTTCCTGATACATTTAAATTGCTCAACAATACCATGCTAATTAAATCAATTATAATACGAGATGGCAGATAAAGTAATAAACTGAGTTAAATAATAATAAAATAATGAACTGACTTGAACTGGCAGAAGACGTCGGTGTACTCAGGAGCGACGTCGTAGGCCTGCATCACCGTCACCCTGAAGGTGAACTCCTGCCCCAGCTTGAGGTGAGGGGGAAGCTCTTCCTCCTCAGCTGTGCTGCTCAGACAACTGTCGCCTCGGCCTGAGTCCGACTCACCCAACTCTGAGCAAAACAATGCCTTGATCTCCAGTGGATATACTGAGCAAAACAATGACTTGATCTCCAGTGGATATACTTTATTTTAATGCTAGATTTAATGCTAGAAACATCCAATACCATGAGGCAACATGTATACTTCTTTGCGATGCAAGATGATGTGTATGATAAAAATCTTGTAGCTTTGGTCTAATAACGTCGCAGTTCAGATTTGCATTTTTTTGAGAAAATATAAGAGTAAAACAGATTCATAGATTAAAACATATATTAGCTAAAATACAAAATATTCTAAATTATTAGTGGTTGTTTTTGTCACTCGCAAAAAATTATTAGGAAAAATCGGATAGCGGTGAGTGTATAGTAAACTGAGGCCCACAACAGAATCTTGTGTCGCTCGAAGATAGGAAATAAGAAACTGAATATAACCAAACATCACGTCTTCGTAGTCGCAGCACCAAACAATCGTACGAAGAGTAATTGAATTGAAATTATTCCAGAAGAAATGCTGATTAAAAATTACTGATATAAATTACTGTACGCTTGAATCGTCGAGTTCATCCGATCCGCGGGAGTTGAATTCCCTCACCCAACACATACCAAAAAATTAGTTAATATAAATTATTCCAATAGCAATGCCGATTAATAATAACAATAATATTAATAATAACAATAAACAAGACTGAAACCTTCAAGTTTGGCGGCGTCGGCGCCATCAGACTGCCCCTCGACGTAGCGCTCGTCGTCGGGAGCGGCGCCCCCCGCCGCCGGTTTGTGTGGGCGGGGGCGGGCGGGGGGCGGCGGGCTGAACTTAATGCGCGCGGACTGGCGGACGCCGCCGCTCTGCTGGGGCGCTGAGCAATCCTCGTCCGCTGAGTGTGCAGCGTCATCATTATTGCTTATTCTATTTCATTATTACATTATATTTGTGTGCAGCGTCATCAATATAAGTCATTATCCTCACCATCGTCCATCAGTTATTACATCCAACGAGGTGTGATAATAATGTTTCATATCTCAGTGACATCCTCCTTTCATTATAATTAATTAACAATAAGCACGATGATAATAATAATAATCAATAATAATAATGATAGTAATAATAACAATAATCGAGATAATAATAAACAATAATAATAATGATAGAAATTATAACAATAATCAAGATAATAATAATTAATAATAATAAGTATAGTAACAATAACAATAATCAAGATAACAACGCACCAGCGACGGCCTGTACGGCCACCTTGAGGTAGGCCTTCACGTCGCCGCGCTCGTTGACGATCGCCACGCGGTGCACCAGCGGTACAGGGAGCAGCAGGTTACTCAGGTACACGTACCCNCTCAGGTACACGTACTCGTGAGCAGGGTATTCAAGGATGTGTGCCAAGAAACTGGAACTACATAATTCGAGGTTCTAATGCTTTCACAAAACATTTTATATTTATTCATTATTTTGCAACCTGCCATTTACCTCGGAATCACCAGCCGACACGCCTGAACCAGGAGAACCAGTTGCTTTCACCAGCCGACACGTCTGAACCAGGAGAACCGCTTGCACTCACCAGCCGACACGCCTGAACCAGGAGAACCGCTTGCACTCATCAGCCGACACGCCTGCAGGAGAACCGCTTACACTCACCAGCCGACACGCCTGAACCAGGAGAACCGCTTACACTCACCAGCCGACACGCCTGAACCAGGGGAACCGCTTACACTCACCAGCCGACACGCCTGAACCAGGGGAACCGCTTACACTCACACTCACCAGCCGACACGCCTGAACCAGGGGAACCGCTTACCGGTCCTACAGGACCGGTTCTACTCACCAGCCGACAGGCCTGAACCAGGAGAACCGCTTATACTCACCAGCCGACACGCCTGAACCAAGGGAACCGGTCGTAGAAGGGGTCACCGCCCGTGAGACTGTCGATGTTGCAGTCTGGCGACGAAGGCGAGAACTGCGCGTCGTTGCTGTACATGTCGCGCATCAGCTCCAGCCTTTGTCTGCGTTCAATAAAAATTGAAAAACCATCAGGATGAATGTTGTTGTTTATGAGGCTTTTTATATAATAGTGCAAAAATCATAACACTTTTCGAGTGCTCTTGCTATTTCAGCTCCAATCTTTATCTGCGTCGAATTGAGATTGAAAAATTTCTCGGTACTTCAAGGAATTGGGTAGGATTCCAGGAGGCTTATAATGTAGTAGTTGAAAGATTTTTACAAATTTTGATAGCTAATGCCATGTCAGTTCCAAATTATCTGAAAATCATAGAACATTAGCTCGCAGTAGTCCAATTAAACAATTTGACAAAAAAATCACGCAATAAAAAGGGGGATAAAACCTTATGAGCGGTTTTAGCATTGAGAGAAATATTTCAACTAAGAAATTATTCCTAATCATCAATATCAGTTATCTCGCATAATATTGATAATATATATAAATAATATCTATACCAAATATTTATGGTGAACCACTAGCATGTATCCTAGTAAGTGAGAATTTAATTAACTACCCGTAATTACCTATATTTGTTCAATCTGAAACCAGCAAAACATGCCTTTTTTTCGAAGCCAACGGATAAGGGAACTACATGTCGCCTCATGCGAGCAGAATGCAGGAAGGAAGCTCGTGTCAGTCGTTCAAGTCTCACATGTAAAGCATGCATGCGGTCATGCAATCCGAAATAAAACATAACAAGCTCGAGCAACGTATAAGTTACCTCTCGAAAATGATCACTAAAAACACGGGCAAAAAACGCAGGCATTGCAGCATGCGAAAAAACCTCCTGACGAAACAACAATGACGTGCGCGGAGTAGACCGTAGTATAAAGTGCGACTCGTATTCAGAGCATTGTCTGAAAATGGACATTTTCCTTCAAATTCTTATGTTATAATTTTTAACTTTTTCCTATGCAACTAAATTTTTACGAGAAAATACCGCAAAGGAAGCCAGGAACAAATATTGTCTGTGGATTTATTTAAGGCTCGCAAATTTAGGACTAAAATTTACAATTATATTAACCTAAAGAATATAGAAGAATGAAAAGAAAAATCCATAGGAAATATATTATTGAGAAGAGTGATCAAGAAGATAGAAATTCTATCCATAACATCATTAAATTAAGCTGCCTAGAAAAATAAAGTCTTGAGCGGCAGCGAAGCCGGCAAACTCAAATGAACCATCGAGAAGCAAATTAATAGGAACGACTTAGATGCGTGTGAAGAATTTTGAATATATAGGATGTAGATAAGATGTGGTATATGATTATAGTTCAGTGGATAAATATGAAGGTGTTAATAAATCACGCAGAGAGAAAAGTGAACAGGTAAGAAGATATGTTCATTTTATTTCCTAGTAAAAACCGTTCTGAAGCAGGTTTGAAATTGTATCTTACTTTTATATTTTGTCAGCGCATTGAATAACTTACTTCTCGCTCAACATTCTAAATTATTGCAGTTCAAGAGATACGTGCATCTGCTGTATGAAACGGCGATGCTATATCGTACACTGGACGCGTCGAATTCCGTCATTCAATTTGCATCTAACTTCACATCATTCCTTGTCAAGTGATTGCATTGATTTTTGATGACAACTCAGAGCGATGCAAATCAAGGAGAGGATGCGTAGCGCGAATACATATGCAATAAACCCGGCCATGCGTAATAAGGAACACTGATTCATTTCCAAGCTAGGAAAGTTTTGCTCAATGTATTTCAGTGAAAATACACGTCCAATAAAACAGTGCAAGCACACGCTCTGGTAAATGGTATTTTATTGATGCGTGATAATACGAGTACAACATCTCATTAAAAAATTGAAATTTTTGCAGCATTTCCCGTCAACTGGTTCACACATACCTCGTTCTCTCGTTATCAAAAAAACGAAGCCACAGAGAAAAATAAGTCTGGAAAAACTCCAGGAAACTAACATTTGATTCCGAAGACGAGCAGTGAACCCATGGGAGACATCTGGAGCAGGTTGATGAGGCATGGGCAGCTCCGTGACGCAGGGTTCTTCCAAAGTCATAGTTTGTGCGTTTGTGGTGAAGAAAGCCCATACAGAGGAGTTGTTGTTTAGCGCTTGGGCGTTTTTAGCGTTTTTTGAGGAGACGATGTCGTGTGACAACGATGAAATCAGGTTATTGTTGTATACGCTAGAAGCGGTGGGCGACAGACAGCCGGAGTCGTAGACTTCACGCATGAGCGTCAAGCGCTGCCTAGAGCCGGCGACCAAAATCGAGAGTCGGAGTGAAATTCCTCGAGAAATATCTTTCACTTGGATATGTGTGCATGTATTTGCAGTGCAAAAGACGGCAAGAAAATGTTAAGTTGAAGCTACTTCTTGTAACCTGAGATTGTATGCTAAACTGCCAATATACGTTGCCTGTGATCAAAAACCTATACAAGGTGAAAGGGCAAAAATGTCAGCCAGTGCTCAAAAGGAAATAATAATATGTTGTAGCAACATATTTAATAGTCACGGATGATTTGTGGTAATCAATGAATGTTCTTTTACGATGTGTATAAAATAATGTTTTAATTAATTGTCGTCTGTAAACACGATTTAAACAAATATTCGCCGGGAAGCCAGAAACGTAACGAGTGTAAAAAAAATGAACGAAAACGGAGAAAAATGCCTTTTCGAATAAACTTACTATGCTAACAGTTAACATTACGCTAAAGTAGGAATTATACTATTTCGCAATGCTACCAATTTCGGCACTAATGAGCATGCGTGTAATTTAGTAATCAGAGGATTTGTTGTTAAGGGAAAAATATTAGGAACTTGGTAGGTCCAGACAGCATAATGTTTCAGTGAACGAATAGTGAGGTTACCCATGCAAAACCAATGTTTAAAAATGAACTGAAAGATGCGTGTTGTTTGGGAAACAAATTAAATTTCTGCCATCAAAATTTGGAAAGTGTGAACGAAAGTGAAAGTGAACTTAACGTCTCATGAGTGAAGAAATGAATAAAAATTTTACAACGGCTGCATGATTTATCGAAAAATTCTTCTAATTAAATTACATTTACTTGGATTAAACACAATGTCTGAATGAATAAACTAATATAAATATTTTCACGAGCGGAAAATTTTTCAAGATTAGTAGGCTTCATGGGATAAATCCGGGAACTACTTCTATATACATTCAAAAACGATTGATATTCAAATACTAACAAATAAACTAATAAAAACTAGAGTGAATAAGCTAAACGGAGCAGGTGTGCAGAGTTTCAGCAACTATACATATCAAGGCAGAAGAAATGACCGAGTTCATCACGGGAAATTGTGAAGAGATTTTGATCCCACGTCAATTAGCTAACTATACATACCAGCAACAAATGCTGGCTCTCAATATCTTAAATGAGTCCAGCACTCACGCACTCACCAGCGTTTCTTGAGTCATGCGTGGTGCACTCACCTCAGTTTCTTCAGCGTCCAGTAATGCGTGACGCTGTTACTGCCGTCACACTCATATCAAGGCAGAAGAAATGACCGAGTTCATCACGAAGGGATGTATATTACACGTGAAAGTGTGACGTCGAAATTAGCGCACAAATGGTTATTGTGGTCACGATATGGCGATATAACTTTGAGCTGCTTGATAGTCATTATAAAGTGATCTAAAAAATTAAGTAGCTCGATTAGGTAGCTTTTTGAGATGACTGTAGCCAATGACACATGTCCAGGGCCCCGTTTTGCAATAAAAATTGAAAGGAAAACTTAATATGTCAATAGAAAAAAAAACATTCGAGTCGAGCTGACTTACCCTTTTCTTGAGTTCGACTGAAATGGCATTAGCTTCTTTAAGGAAAATAGCATTACCCCAGAGATCGTCTCTGAGGGAAGTGAACTGATGGTTCTTCCACTTGCGCAGAGCCCATGAAGCGAGGGAAGTTTCCCTCTCACTCCAGTGACACTCTGCGTCAAACAGAGGGTTTACTGCAAACAAAAACAGGATTTAGGGCAAACAAACAGAGGGTTTAGGGTAAACAAACAGAGGGTTCAGTTCGAACAGTCAAAGGGTTTACAGTAAACAGTACATGCGAGGCTTCGGATCAACATGTCAAAGAAATATTTCTATGCGCACGGTTAGAGAAATACGGACATGAATAGAAATACGGACATGAATAGAAATACGGACATGAATGAAATACGGACATGATGAGGTGGATACGAAATTTGCTTAATGTTGAGAGTATTTTGAAAACTTCTAAGAGCATCCGTGTTTATTCTTCGGTTCAGCAAACAAACCTTCTACCGTTACCAAATGTTGTCTTTTCGGATAAAATCAGTTATGCTCAAAATTACATAGCTTTCGTTATATTTTTATATAGAAAAAGCTGCTTTAGCAACTTGGTCTCTCTTCCGACTGAACCGAAGTTTGATAGTATAAATTTGAAATTTAACGAGACAGATAATCGTTTAGTCTCCCAACAAATAACAATTAAATCAAAATCAGGAATTTACGCAATTTTTAGATGGCAACAGTAGTTTTTTTACAATTCTTTAAAAAAAATAGTAATCGATATCAGTACACATAATTAAGATCAGAATCTACAGAACTATATAATAAATACTCACCGAAGATATCGTCATCTCTGTTGGCGAAGTCATCAGTCGTGTATGATGAATACATGGACATGGTCATGCTCTGTTCCTCTACTTGCTTCTGCAGGGCGTCGATGCGAGCTTGGTAGTTCTGTAACACAAAAAATAAGATTTTAAGCAATTTTTAATTTGGAAGAAGAGTATGTAGAACGTACAGTGTTGAATTCTTGTTGGTTAATTCTTTGCAACTGACTTCTAAAAGACAACTTCTATTCTGCTGCGTACTAAACAGACATAAATTAAGTGGTCAAGTCTAATAATGTCAGTAATTGCTTGAAAATCAAATTTATAGGCGAAATTCCCTCAAATTGTCTTCATTATGCATCATAAAGCGTATAATCATGTATCCTCGTAATATTGTACACATTACATAAAGCGTGTTATCATATATACTCATAATATTATAAACATTATTTCGCACGTGACATTAATCGGTCTGTACAGGCCGCGAAAATTTCGTACGAAAGTCTCACAATAATCGTGCAGACATCACAATGCCCGACTATTATTGAGGTGTGGAGAACGCTTATTTAGATCTCCAAGAAACAAAATAAAAATGAATTATAGATAAATGTTGAGTGGGATTTTAAATAACTCTGAGTAGAAAGACCTCTGAAGATCATAAATCTTCAGATCATGAAAAAACAACAAGTGCTGATGCAGCAAATTATTGAAAATAACTTTCAATACAGGTTTTTACAAAGTTATAAACGACAGATTTTTCTATACTTATCGAACTGTTTGGCGATAATGAGATTAAAGATCATGAAAAACCACAAATCCAATCAGTTTTAATTCAACAAATAAATAAAAAATATAACTCAGTAATTACTGCAGTGAGTGACAGAGAGCGCATTTTCTCAGCGACGAAAACTTGAGGTCACGGACGGACGGACAGACGGACAGACGGACGGACAGACGGACAGACAGACAGACAGACAGACGGACATGGCGAGCACAATAGTGCATTTTTTCCATAAATGAGAAAATGCGCTAAAAATGGTACATTTATTTCCGTGTTAATCTGCATAGCGATTCATTATCTCTAGAGTATGACAACATCTAAAAATGAGCAAGGTGAAAAAACAAAACAATAACTTAAACACAAAAACTTACAAAAAAATGAATCTAAAGATCATGAGATAATAAGTTTCAATGCAGCAAATTACAGAAAACCCCGACCTTTCTTTCTTTATCAAACTGCTTGGCGATCTCTTCCTTCTCCTTGATGTACTGCTCCTCGAGCGTGACCAGGCGCTTCTGCATCTCCTCCTTGAGGTCGATACCTTGCTTCTCCAGCAGCTCGATCTGCGCGAACTGCCAGTCGGCGGGCTCCCCAGACCCAGGCGTCTCCACGGGACTTTTGGCGCCCCGACGCTCGCGCACTGCCGACCAGTGGGTATTTAATACAATACTGCTTGTAACTTATTTATTACCATATCGCTTGCATATATAACTTACCGAGTCCATTACACATTGCTTAATGCTCGCGCACTGCTCAGCGTTTATTCAATACTAAACTGATTGTAATTTATTTATTACCACATCACTCGCATATATAACTTACCGAGTCTATTGCACATTGCTTAACGCTCGCGCACTGCTCAGCGTTTTATTGTAATATTTAATTACAATATTTAATACTGCTTGTAACTTGTCTAAGGTTTATTGCAAGTTATGCAAGCTTGCAGTATGGTTTATTCAAAACCATAATGCTTGTAATTTATTTATTACCATATCGCTCGCATATATGACTTACCGAGTCTATCACACATTGCTTAACGGGACCGTCATGATCGAGTAAGTTGCATCATATCTTTAATAAAAGTCAATCACTTGACTGAGTCTTAAGACAGAGAGACACTCAAACAATACTTACCCAACATACGACACGATATGCCTAAATTTTTATGCGATGCTTTTCATTAACGCTCGCGCCCTGCTCAGCGTTTATTCAATACTAAACTGCTTGTAACTTATTTATTACCATATATCGCTCGCATATATAACTTACCGAGTCCATTACACATTGCTTTAACGCTCGCGCACTGCTCAGCGTTTTATTGTAATATTTATTTACAATATTCAATACTGTTTGTAACTTGTCTAAGGTTTATTGCAAATTATGCAAGCTTGCAGTATGGTTTATTCAATACCATAATGCATGTAATTTATTTATTAGCATATCGCTCGCATATATAACTTACCGAGTCCATTACGCATTGTTTAACGGGACCGGCATTTATCGAGTAAGTTTCACCATATATTTAATAAAAGCCAAGCATTTGACTGAGTATTGCGACAAACAGCAGGACTCAAGCAATACCGAGCATACGACACGATAGGCTTAAATTTTTATTAGATGGATTTCTAAAGTATGAAATAAATTTCAATGAAAATGTCAAGGATGTAGTCAAATAATGTACGTCAGACCATCCTGGGAGTTAAATGTTTTCTACCGAATTTCAACATTACTTTAAATTTAAATGCTCAAAATTGAGGTACCTTGCTCGGGGTGGTTGAACCTGAAGACGTGGTTCTTGCCCAGGATGACCCGAGAACCGGTCTTGAGCAGCAGCGGTTCTGTGACCTCCCTGCCGTTGACGTAACACAGCGCACCCTTGTTGGGGTGCAACGTCACGTTCCCTTCTTGGTTCTGTCAAAAATATATATTTATATGCAGACAATTTTGAAACTGGTAGCATCTCGTCTCAGTTAGGCAGGTGGAAAATGAAGGATTATTACCAAATATAAATTTCAGAATAAACTAATAGTATTAAGAGTATTCATATTGAATCAGTTACTTTCAAAAATTTACTCCTGACGCCTTTAAATTTTTCTAATTTATAAAATATTTTTCACTCAACACCGCAAAATTTTTAATACAGTTCCTGTATTCTATCCTACATTTGAAATGTAGGATAATCATCACTCATTACAACACGGAAATTGAACAATTGAAATACTACTTAAAAATGCGACGTTGTGCAAATGAAATGTAGAGTCAAAATTAATCAGAAATCTAAATAAGAAATAAACTCGAAATTGTTAAACATGGCTCTCTTACATTTGAAATGTAGTATCGGAATCATTAGCGTGAAATCACTACTCACCTCAAAGCGGCAATGTTCAGCGATGATGTGGGAGCCATAGAGCTTGATATCCTGCGGGAGGTTGAACTCTGCGGATCCTACGTTGGTGCAGCCATCCTTGATGTAGTACAGGAGGCACTCCGNCATCTTCCTTGAGCGCGACGCCCATCTCAGCGAACACGGCCTCGCGCTGCAGCCTCACAGACTCCGTGCGCTTTAGCTTCTCCTCCCAGGTCTCGTTCAGCTCTGTCGCGTATTTTAGTATTTATTTTATATCAAAATTTTTATTCTACTTTAACAGAAAGAGCAAGAAATTTCCTATCAATAGGCTGATCTTGGTACTATATTAATATCAATTAATTGGCAACTGTCCTTGATCTGCACCACAAAACAGGAATATCAGATTTCTTTATCACAAATTATCTCAATAAACATTTGTGAAACAAATCTTATCTGATCCCTCACAGATTGCTCACTATACCCTCCAAAGTCAGCATACGGTAAGATAATTTCGAATCAAACCCTCGATTGGATTGCTAATCAGAAATATCACCATATCAAGATAGTCTCATATAAACCAACTATAATCATGTCAAGATAGTCTCATTTAAACTTAATATCATCATATGAAGACAGTCTCATATGAAATTCGCGCTTGTATAGACTGACCAGCGATGAGTTTCTGGTTGGCCTGTAGCTGGTCGACGGCGACCTCAGCGACAGAGCTGACGGGCGATGTGATCTGCGTGGTGCTGCCGTTACCTGTCGTGCGTAGGCCTCCCGCCGCTAATTTTGAGATCTCTTGGCCTACAAGTATAGAGACACGCGTGAATTACAGGCATTATACAAGAGTTATTATAAAGAAAAAAGTGGTTTATATAAATGGAAAATCGGTCATCCTTCATCTGATGCCTATCTGTCTGCGGTCAAATGGGAAATTATAAAACAGTGCTAATAAAGACAAAAATGTTTTATAATAATTACATATCTTTCCTCATTTGATGCCTGCCTGTCTACCGCAAAATTGGAAATTTTAAAACAGTGCTAATAAAGAAAAAATGTTTTATAATAATGACATATCATCCCTCATCTAATGCCTGCCTCTCGGCCGCCAAATTAGAACTCTTTGAACCATTCGAATATGACAGCGGTGTGCTTAAAGCCGACGGTATTTAAGCTCCATAGCTTCTTATTGAAATAACAAAGTGCTGTTACGTTCTATATCTTAAATATAATAGCAATCACATAATACGATTATCAAAGCATGAAACTATGAAAAAAATTATAAATTTTGTTAAAAATACATAATGAATTGTACGACCTTAACAACTCAACGCGACATTCACACATGTAATTACTGCCGACCGTTTCCTCATAGTCAATATAAAGCTATCCAGAACCAATGAATTTGCAATAGAGCCCGGCCCATAATTTTTTAATAGAAATTGCTTGGCCCCTGATAAAAAATCGAATCAGAAAATATGAAGTCAATCGTTTGTACCTGGAACTTTATTTCCAGACGACGCGGTTGCCTGGTAGATAGACATGCAAATAAATGGATCTTATTGCCCAAATAGTGACACACTCCCTGCATGTAGCACTGATGCGTTCTTGTGCTGAGCCAGACTAAAACCTGGGCCTATACTTTCAAAAAAAGTTAAGAGATCGTAAGTTCATCAGCCAATCATTGGCGGCCTTTCAAGCAAAATCCACCAATCAAAGACAGTAAAATAGAGCGTAAGTACTTACGTTCACTTAGCGAGTTTTGAAAGTATGGCCCAAGATGACTAACACAAGTGTAAGGAGTGCATCAATATTCGGACAAAGACTCACTCATTTCTCTGATTGCACCGTAAGAACAGTGGAACTAAAGGCACAGAAAAGTGTTGATTATTACGCGTATATATAGTACACATAGTGAATAAAAATTAGATTGATAGGAATATAAACAACTAAAAATGAAGGCGCTTGCATATATATTGTACCAGTAAAATGACATCAAATAAAGTGATATGTCAGAAGCAAAATATATAGGTACATACAATATAATGAATGAATGTATTGAATGAGTTGCCATGCAGTGAAGTGAGCGTGCACTTCGATAGTTTCAATAATAATGCATATAAATAAAACAAACTCAGAGAGTACAAAAATTACTTCAATAGCGCCTTGAAATAAGATTATAATAAAAATTAAAAATTCTTTAATTAATACAATTTATATACTCTGGAACTTTTTAAATGATATAAATATTACACATTTTTTTCTTCAAATTTCGTAGTAAAAACCTTTGAAAATAATGGCACTATTGAACATTCTTCAGTAATCCAGCTTAGAAATAAATTATCTATAATGGATCATAAGTTTTTTGTCAGAATAATATAATAGAAGATAACAAAAATTCATTAAATTTTGACAAACAATTCATGAGATTTTCATAACATTTTATGGTCCTTATGAAAGGAAAAACTCGTTTAAGTGAATCCTTAAATTAATAAATAACAGACATCGAAAAAATATACGACTAAAAATAACAACGATACGTTCCCTTATGCTTTAGGTTGAATATTTAACATAGAAATTTATCATTAACCACACGAAAAAACGACAAGTGTTATTCCTACGTTAGAAGAAGTAACAATAAGTATCATATGATGATAGGAACATTTATTATATGCCTTAGCAATGCAGCATCGTAGAGGTAAGCTAATTCTTGTGATTTTATTACACCTATAGATGCTAAACTCTTCACACAAAAACGCATTTTTCGACAAAAAATCAATCAATTTGAACAAACGAGAACAGCACAACATTCTGTTGATGTTTGTGAGACTTTCGTTCGTGTCAAAAAATAATAAGATTTATCAGTTCAGAATGAACTCTAACTACGTACTGGTCCCACGAAATTGTGAATAGTTTTATAACTAAATGTTAATAAAGCCACATGACAAAAGTTCAGTGATTCGCAGAGGAAAACGCAACTTCAACAGAGGCATTTAAAATGCTTTGTACCCGACAAAAATAATTACTCAAATTAGGAACGTACAGCAAAACAGAAGAAATTTTCCTGATAGAATATAAGTTTGTGCGAAAATAGCGTAGGGAAACAAACAGGGTAATTTTATAGGGTAACAATTCATGATTTAGGGAATAATGAGCCAAGGTGAAATATACGGTATAAGGTAGCCGAGGGGTACAAAGGGATGGATGCACCAGTCTAAAGGTAATACATTTCTCAAACAACAAGCCATATTCGCGAGTATATATATGCTTGAAACCATTAAAGGGTCAAGCTAAAAACCAATATGATATATAGTAGATTAAAAATAACATCAATGGGAAAAACAACAGTCAGGTTGCTACGTCATAAAACAGAAGCACATCCACAAGCAAAAGCCCCATTCACCGTTAAATTTAGTAACAATTAATTGAAAAATAATCTAGTCATTGATTAAAGAATGTGGAAACTAAAGGCTGGAAGTGAAGTGACTTTAAAGCTACAAGTTCAGCAAGGAACCTCACTTCTTCAAGCCTCACTTTAAACTTAATTTGTAATGTGACTGAAAACTTTAAATGAAGTAGTAGGTATTTGATTGCCGCATAGATTAAAAATAATAATTAATTAATACCTATGAGTTGATTTGTTCTAAATTTAGGGTTTAACGATGCACTTAATTTAATTCTACACAAAACCAATAGACCGAACTCATGTCGCAACGTGAAGATACCAGCACACTTCTTACAAGCTAGCGCAATTATGTTTAAAATATTTTGAAATTTATTTATCTTGAGTAATTTAGATTAAAATTTTTCGGATCATCGCACGGCTTAGTTCCACTTCTTAAGACCACTAGTCGAATAAATACGTAACTCTTCACTTCAAGTTTTCTGAACAACCAAAATAATTTAATCAAAATTTTTTGCTAATTTTTGCTAAAAAATTTTCTCCCCTGAAGCCTGGAAGCCTCACACGACGTCAATTTATATGGAAGGAAGTTCGCTTCTATCCTATCAGCTTTAACCTGCTTTGTGCCAATTATTTCGATTATAATACATATTTTCGCTGTAAATGTATTCCTTCGCTGAAATAAAATTACCTCCAAACTAATTGTTTTTTTCCTGAATTTAATCCGTTCCTTGCGCTTTCATTAACAAAATGAATAAAACGCAAAAATTTTGATCCAAAATTGACAAGCTGAAGCCGGCGGGGCTAAATAATACGTTGAAAAAACGTCGATGACAAGCTAATGTCGTTGAAACAACGTAAAATCAACGTTATTTGAACGTAAAATGCCTGGTGGGAAAGGACCTGCCAGGACTGAGAGCGCAAGACGAAGCATGCACGCCCGTACTCACTATGAGGACCCAAATCAGCAGGTCGGTTATTCTCGTTAGGATAGATGACTTTTCCTTCTGGGCCTGCACGGAACACCATTTTACATCATGCCAAATATAATTTAGCAATTATAGAAGTGAAATATATAAGTGAGAGACATCGCTGCACACACAGTTCATATCATACCAAATATAATTTAGCAATTATAAAAGCAAAATATATAACCGAGACACATCGCTGCACAGTATTTTGATGGCAGTCGAGACCCAGAGGTGTTTAGGTCGCACCAACGAACACAACACACATATTCCATCAATTAAATAGCATTTCAATCCTTTATGTGCCCAAAGGCATTTTTCAAGATAGCAATTACAAAATATACATTAATATAATTTAATTTCATAATTATCGGAAGCTATTTCTGCATCATTCAGGCTCTATATTCTCGGAACGCTTCCACCTTCGGTTCAACACATGCTAATAAAACGTGCACTTAAACAACTACACACAAAGGGTACACACAATCCCTCTTAGAATTAGATAATTTCTACAAATTCATGAAATCATGAACAGGAAACTTGTTTTCGGTTTTCAAGGGAATTAAAATCTGGCTTAACAAGGGATTTCTTCTCGCATCACTCGCAGGAATATGACTTATTAAGTAGGTACTTAATTATCAGTATTCAGCTTCAAAGTTCTCCTCAAGAAATATGATGATTTTCTTCAAGGCTTGAATGACTACTGAATAAAAAATAAATAAAAAATTGTATATACATATCCTTATACTAATAAATATCTATCTAGAAGCTTTACATGAAATCACATCTAAAATTATGCTATTGTCGAACGTATACAATGTTTACTTTAGGGGAGCTGAACTATCAACTTATTATCTCTAACAGCCAATTTCAAATTACAGTTCAAATGTTCGACAGAAATTAAAAATAAACCTGATTACACTTCGAGCGTGGCCGCGTTCCCTACGAAGCCTTATCTGTAAAACCTTTTATCAGGCCCCGACCACTGAGCCCTATTTAACAAACGCTTGGTCTATAAATTCAAGCATGTAAGCATCGGCAGCATATCCTCCATGCCACATTTGCACACTTGTCGTTAAGCAGTAACAAGAACCAATTTTTTTTTTCTTAGGAATTATGGACCGCGATTTAAGAATCTTATCATTACAACACATAGCAAACGTTTAAACTTACGACCAGATCAGATTGGCTGACGGACTTGAAAAAATTAGATCAGTACTCACTGCAGTGAATGACAGAGAGCGTATTTTCTCGTCCGTCCGTGACGTGAAGTCACGGACGGACGGACATGACGAGCACAATAGCGCCTTTTTTTACATATATGAGAAAATGCGCTAAAAATCGAACCTATTTTAAGCCCCAGCTACCTATCATCCTTCACCTCAATGCCCTAAACTTTCTGAAAATTCGTTATTAATAGTTCTTAAGAGTTTATTAACATCTATATATAAGTCATGAAATAATCTTCCTCTATCTCGATGCTCTGACTTACATAAAAGTTCGTTATTAGGAGTTTCTTGAGAGTTTTTTAGTTTCTCAATAATTCTTAAGAGTTGTGAGCTAACCTTCCTCCATCTTGATGCACTAAACTTTCTAACAGTTCATTGCTAATAGCAATTAAGAGTTATTAAGAGTTTTCTAAGAGTTTCTAAACATCCTAAGAGTTTCTAAACAATTTTTAAGTATATTGAAGAGTTTTTCAAGAGTCGTGAACTAACCTTCCTCGACCTCGATGCCCTCCTGCTTGAGCAGCTCCCGCAGGCGCTGAATCTCCTCCTTCAGCTCGCGGATCATCTTAGCGTTGGCGTCCTCGTTGACGACGGCGTTGCAGCGGATAGCTTTTGCCCGGTCCGCGTACCTGACAAATGTTAATAAATACCAAGTGTTTACAAATCAAATAGCTCAAGATATAATTAGTTGAAAGTTTGTAACAAATTATATCGCTCAAGACACAATTAGTTGACAGTTTTGTTAACAAATTAAATCGTTGCAGACAAATTTGATTGCAAGTTTTCTTCGTAGAATATATCGCTCCAGACCCAATTGATTAAAAGATTTGTTCACAAAATAAATCGTAGTAAATAAAATAAATTAGAAGCTTATTGAAGACAATAATTGACTAATATAATAATCGTTAATCATTTCAAACTAAAGTAATAACAGATTAATAAGCAACATGAGAATAGAGACCGTCTCGCCATTTCATAAAAGCAAGGAAGACCATATCTTAATTGACTGAATAATAATTGGTAATTATATTGACTCATATTAATATTTAAGCAACAATAATAACAGATTAATTAGGCACCTGAGTTTTGAGAGCGTCTCGTCATAGTTCATATAAGCAAGGGAGACCATATCTTAATTGCCCATATCATAATTGGTTATTATATTAATTAAAAATAATTTACTACATAATGATTGGTAATTATATTGGCCCATAATAATAATAGAGCAATAATTACTGATTAATAGGTCACCTGAGTGTAGAGAGCGTCTCGTCATAGTTAATATCAGCAGGGGAGATGGCTGCCACCATGGCAGTCTTGCTGTTGCCACCAAGGTTCTCCACGCGACGACGTCTCGTTCATGTTCGTCGCCGCCACCGTGCGCGCCTTGTTGCCTGCCAGCAAAATATACACTTTGAGGATGTTTTTTCGTGCATAGGATTCTTATCTATAGTATTCTTGTCTATATTATGCTTATCTATAGTATTCTTATCAATGTTATTCTTGTCTATAAGATTCCTTTCTATAGTATCCTTTTCTATGGTATCTCTGGCCTCTGGGCAGGGATTAAAAAACAGCAAATCCGCAGTGAATTCAATTAAATTTGAGGTTTATTACCGAAACAGTGTATCAAAACAATTATTTACAGCTCCAAAACATGTAAATACAACAGAACAAAATATCTGTCTCACCTTCATCGATGAGGTCATGAATATCATCGTAGCTCATGACGGCGAGCTTAGCCAGGTCCTCGACGTAGGGCCCCAGCAGCGGATGTTCTCGCACCCTCAAGTGGCTCTTGTTCTTCGGGTTCAGGAGATCCCGCACGCGCTCGCAGTAGATCTCCATGTAGCTCACCTGCACGTAGCGCCATCAGTAATCAAAAATTGTTGTTATTTAGGTTATTCGTCCGCAGCAGTTTACCCAGTACCACCAGAAAAAAAATTGCATCACTTCCTGCTTTTTAGCGGATAAAAGAGACTGGTTAATCTAATCATCAATGTACTGAGTAGCGCCATCACTAATCAAAAATTGATGTAATTTAGGTTCATAAAACGAGTTATTCGTCTGCAGCAGTTGGCCCAGTACCACCAGAGAAAAAATTACATCACTTCTTACTTTTTAGCGGATAAAAGAGACTGGTTAATCTAATCATCAATGTACTGAGTAGCGCCATCACTAATCAAAAATTGTTGTTCTTTAGGTTCATAAAACGATTTATTCGTCAGCGGCAGTTTACCCTGTATACCACCGGAAAAAAATTACATCACTTTTGATTTTTTGCGGCCAAAAGAGACTGGTTCATCTAATAATTAATGTACAGTAATGGTAAAAAATATAGCGTGTTTTACCTCAACGGAATACTGGAGTTCATCATCGACGTTGGCGCTGATTTTGTTGAACATTTCCTCACAGACGAGAGGAATGATACCTTCCTGGCCTTCCTCCATCTTGCCCATCATCGTATAGGACTTGCCGGACCCAGTCTGGCCGTATGCGAAGATGCATACGTTGTAGCCTGCAACATCATTGCCATCATCGGGCGAAATATGAGCATATATACGACACATTTTTGAGGAAATGAGGATCTGTATAGATGTGTAGATGTATTAGTAAACATTTAGCATAGTACATGTTAAGTAATTGAGGAACATGAGAATGTAGAGATATTATATTTTAATTAAAAATATAAACAATTCACGAATATGCACATGGATATGGTACGACTGTAATTTTTCATTTTAATTAGATAATGGGTGAAAATTATAAATGATATAAATGCAATATTTCAAATTCCTGTACCGATAATACTGTAAAAGAGGGAATTGGTCATAATACGAGAATGTACAGAAAACGAAGAAACTTAATTTGTATTATAAGTATAATGGCTTGTAAATATAACGTATCGAAGCGACGTTAAGATCAACCGGCTGAGGACACGACAACGCGTCGTTGAATTAGAGGAAAAGATACTGAAATATTGAGAGAAAATACCGTAGAGTACTCATCACAGAGGCTCATTTTTTATCAACTTATAATACAGAAATTCTCGTTGCATCTTCAAATAAAGTTCCCGCATTCATTAAATGAATAAGTATTGAAATGAATATTAAGTATTAAAACGAATGAGTATGGTTACGAATGCCGTTCGTTCCGTTGTTGAATAATGTCCAAGAACGGCCCAACGATTTAGCACACTCATTCACTACTGGATATCGATTTACTCATTTTATATCATACATAATGCATAAGAATTCTATCCCTTTACTCATTTCATATCTACATAATGTATAAGACTTCAATACCTTTACTCATTTCATATCATACATAATGTATACGACTTCAAAACCTTTACTAATTTCATATCATACATAATGTATAAGACTTCAATCCCTAAATGGACCATAGATACTAATTACATTTTCGAAACCCGACTCGGCCAACACTCATAAAACTAAATGCTAAAGAACTTGCGTAGATACAACGAACGCACGACAAAGTTTGCGGCTATTTGAAGCACAAATGAAATTGCGAGAATAGAACTAAGAATATCTCAGGCGTTGAGAGAAAGACAAAGCTCGTCTCTAAATTGACGCTCAGGCCTCGTATAAGTAAAGCCTTCATTGATCCTCGAGTAAAATGCAACTAATAATAGTCTGTCATCTGTCAGATTGAAGTATCAATTATGAAATGAATTCCAGTTCTGGGAACTATTTACAAAACCTTCAAGGAAATAAAAATGTCATCAACGCAGGCAAATGAAAACATTTGTCTTTATAAACACAGGAAACCCGGAATATACGGTCTTTTTACAATGTATATAATACGACGAATCATATAGCGACACTTTAGCAGCACAAACATCTACAACAATTTCAATACATTAATATGCAAATAAACTATCTATAATAATGATGAAATAAATTACTACTGATAAAATAAATTATTACTAATAAAGTAAATTATTAGTGATAAAATAAATTATTAACTATAAAATAAATTATCAATGATTATATATGAGTATATATATAAATCTGACCCTCGAAGGCGTGCTGGAGCATCTCCTCGCCGATGTCGCTGTACACGTGCGCCTGCTCTGCGAACGGCGGCGCGTCCTCCGTGTCGTGCTGTCAACCAAACAAATTAAAATCATCAAATAAAACAATCAGGAAATTTAAAACTATCTAATTACTAAACACCATGTAATATAATATTGAATCATGTCTCAAAATTGCAACCTTATAATAGAATATTGAATAATTTCTCAAAAACAAAAAACTCGGACAACGTCTATTGGGCATTATTCTGCCCGTGTACGCAGTTCAAAGAACACAAACGCTGAATTGCAATTAAAGACGAATATCTCGTTGCCAAAAATACAACAGAATTCAAGTATTCATTCAAGTATTCATCAATTGAATAATCAAAAAGCGCGTTAAATATAAAAAGATTTTTTTGCAGATAATTTTCAGATTCATTTACTTCTACCTAGATGATACGTCCGGGTAACTTGGACAACCGCTTTACTGGAAATAAAATATACGGCAATCATAGGCCATTATGACGGCGGCAGAGGTGTGCATAAAATACTGAAGATACCTTCAGAAAAAAATAAAATACTAATGACAGCCATAAATAAAATTATAACAAACTAAATACACTGATAAAAATAGATGAAATACACTCACAGAGTGTGACCAGTAGGAGTAGTCATAGTTGAAGCTCTTTACGGCCTCCTTGGATCCTGCGGGGGCCTTCGGGTTTGTGATCGCTGGAAAAAAGTTATTGATTAGCACAGGGAAATAAAATTGTGCGGCGACTGGTACCTTGCCTGGAACTTTTTACTGTAATTTTATTTATTATACGCGTAAATTTTAAAGACAAAATATTTATCTACAAACCTACAAATATTGGTATAGTTAGGCAAAAGCTGTTCTTTATTACAATTTCGTTGAAGATCAGAGAATATTTCTTTTTAACAATTTCTTATTGTTTTTCTTTATTCGGCGAACCACGCTTTTGGTAGGATTAGAAAGTTAGATTATCAGGTAAGGGACATTTCATAATAATTTTACTTTACGACGTTTCGAATATTCTACATTCATTATCAAGTTGGTGAAGAGTTTTGCATCACTTGAAATTGAAATAGTGAAATGACATCAGTACCTACAAACCTGACTATCTAATCCTACCAAAAGCCTGATGCACCGAATTTAGAAACAATAAAATTGTTAATAAGAAATACTCTCTGGTCTTCTACGAAACCTAAAAATCTGGCACAATTTTCGATGGAAATAACAAACTATAAACGAAAAAGAAAAAAATGCGTGTGAAGTAGTCTTTTGGAATTTATGGACAATCGAGAGTGAAAGATAGTTATTGTCTCGAGAATTTGTGGCTCAGGAGATTAGAAAGAAGTCGTAAAGCGATCTCGAGGGCCATTACGCTGAGCCTCTTCACTGAAACTCGACGCGGTGAGGCGCATAGTAGCGATGCCCAGTAAAAACGATGCGCAGTAGCAATGAACGTAAACAATACATCAACATAACTTCTATCGATCCGAAGAGGTTGACAAATATTCATAATGAAAGGTCACAGCTAAAGAGTGTGATGAGTGAAAGCTGCATTCCGTGATTGATACAAGCAAACTCATCATCCATTTTTTGAACTAACAGTTTGCGAATGATAACGTGATGAAATTAGTATAAACCACGATAACGCTCTTAAAGATAAGAGGAGAAACGTAATTACGCAATGTTCAAGAATATTATGCAAACATTGTCCTATCTCAAAATATTTGGAACATTTTAACATTTCAAAATATTTGTAGTTTCATTGAAACCAGTTATGACACTTGAGTTCTATTAAAATACGCTGGCTGAAGTTGCCGCATTTGCTGTGTATGAGGTATGAGGCAATGTATGCTAAACATCAAGCGATATTGATTTTTTTATCATATTTCCAGTAACTCCAAACCATAACAGGACTTACAAAAAGCACCATTCTATTAATTTTGCACGCCATTCAATTAATATTGTACATTTAACCACGGGAAAAACTGACCGACTATATACAATAAATTTCAGTTAATTTACTAACTGCAGCCCACAATTACTACGTCAAACGAAAATCGTTGCTGGAATACTGTAGTTTTTTAAATTAATTATGAGAAAGTAAACATAATTGGTCCAATTCAAAATCTGCCAATAGTGAATTCATTCATTCTAAGTTATTCATTCAATTTCAGAATTTAAAAAATTCAAGTCTTCGTCGGACATAGCAACATTTTCCGAACACGAGTGGCACCAAATAGGCGTACAACAAAAGGATTTCAATACAAAGGAGTTTAAGTGAGTTGCTGCTCCATTGGAGCAGCAACATAGCGTGTAAAAAATGCGCCTGTTGGAATGCAGCGTGTAGAAATACACAAGTGAGAATGCAGCGTGTAAAGATAAGCAAGTAGGAATGCAGCGTGTAAAAATGCACAAGTGGGAATGCAGCGTGTAAAGATGCGCAAGTGGGAATGCAACGTGTAGAACAATGCGCCAGTGGGGATGCAGCGTGTAAAAATGCGCAAGTGGGAATGCACGACGGTGTCCATGATGAAAATAACAGAGCGAACTCTTATGTCTATAAATTCTAAGGGCCGAAAATTCCACTCAATCAATAACATCGTAAAGGACAAACATTATTCAAATCTTCGGCTCACAGCGACCCAGTTTTGTTCTTAGTTTTGTTCTTAGCCGCTCACGGAAACGAGGGCACGGGCACACAAGCGGCCGTTGCGGGGGCAGGAATTGTCACAGGAAAAGCGGGGGCGGTGTTAACATTATAAGGGGGGCAGAGGGGGGTTGTAGGAGGCGTGGGGGATAGGGAGGTATAGACGGGAGGGGTGGGGGAGGTGCCGAAGGGATGGGTATGCTTCTAATCAATNTGTCATTAAATTTTCGTATATTTTGTATGCATCCGAATTGTCATAGATTTTTCATGCATTCAAATTGTCGTAACTATGGATATGATTTCACATAAAAATTTGGATGATGCGTTCAGTGCGCAATGTCGTAGAAAAAACGTCATATTGGGTATTTGACGTTGAGAAATGATGAAAATGTAAGAAAGGGGCATAAAAAATAAAATTTAAACCTTTATTTTTTAGTCTTCATTGCATGCCAAAGTGCTTTGAACAAAATAAGAACGTTTAAATATATTAAAAATAGATAATTTCCACTGATAGACTAATTATCGAGGAAGAGCAAACTCGCACCAAGCCCTTAAGCCAATGGCCCGGCTTAGCAAATTCGGGGATCAGGAAGCTCAACTTCCCTGAAATAACTTGCTTAACCTTGGAACTTTGCATTAAGATTTCAACTTTAGCTCAAGTTACAAAGAATTCAAACGCTTCCGCTACGAAGTTACAACTATAGGAGGCTGATTTGAACAAAAAAATCATAGCGATACGTATTGCTCCAAACCATGCACTACACGCGCGGCTGGCGATATTCTTGTTCAGAATAAAGGAAAAATGCAGCAGGAAATAAACAAGACTTGTTGAACAAGGCGGGACTGTATGTGTTTGTTGAACAAGACGGGACTGTATGTGTTTGTTGAAGAGTTGAACAAGACGGGACTGTATATGTTTGTTGAACAAGACGGGACTGTATGTGTTTGTTGAACAGCATGGGACTGTATGTGTTTGTTGAACAGCACGGGACTGTATGTGTTTGTTGAACAGGACGAGACTGTATGTGTTTGTTGAACAAGACGGGACTGTATGCGTTTGTTGAACAGGACGAGACTGTATGTGTTTGTTGAACAAGACAAAGAGTAAAAGATATAAGCATATTTTGATTGCGGCTCCGGTTAAGGTTGAAATTATTGCCCGAACAAACACATTACTGGGTTAACAGCACATACATTTTTAGAAACCACGAGCTTAGATAATTTTAAAATTACGAAAGTGTCATTACGAAAGAAAAGGTTATTACGAAAACTTAATTTTAAATATCATGCCATTACGTCAGAAATTCAAATTAATCCGTGCGAGAGGCCAACAAAACTGCCACTATTTCTTTGCCGGTAATTTAATCGACAGGAATAAACTCAATTTACAAGTTAATTATTATACCAATTAACCTCCATTGACTTATTTTATTAACCTATAGAGCCAATTAACAGTCGCTAGAATGTTCCTTGAAGAGGCTAACACATACATTGGTATATAGAAGTTATCCGCAGAATAAACTATAGAGAGCCGTATTATTTGAACATCAAAACTCAATTCAGGCGCAAGGCTCAACAGCTGTACTTAATGATCGCGAGTACACGCTAGGCAATTGGGTATCAGCGACACCCTGCCAGTCATTTGACGTTGAATTAACGGTGAATTAAACGTTATTTGCTTTAATCAACGCTTATCCAACGTCCTTTGTCTGGTAAGAAGGAGCCTTGCCGCGCCTCACTGGCAACGCTGTTAAGTTGCACGTGCTGGCCAAAAAATTGACTGAATTTGTCAGTGCTACATATTATTTTATATTATATTTAATTTTTGTATACTTTTATTAAAGTTAATAAACTTACTAAATGGGTGCTACCTCAGAAAGTAGTTAATACTAATGCGGTGGCAGATTCACGTGCGTTGCAGTTGTGTTGCAGTTCAGTTGTGTTCCGAACCCACCAGTTATGTCAAATTGCATCACAATCTCAACAATATCATTCAATTGTATCCAAAGTCAAATTTAAAATTTCATTCCAGCCCAAAACTCGCTATGAAGCTCAGTGAAATCACCAATTTATTTGTAATGCAGCAATAATGTTGAAATTCATCAATTGCATCACAAGATCACACCAACCGCGATATAAAGTTGCATCCTATTCTCAAATGTAAATATCATCGAACTGTGACGCGAACCGAACCTTAAAATTCGATAAAACTATCGCTTGAGTCACAAAATGAATTTTAATATTCAAATGCTTCCAAAATCCAAGAAAAATTTTCGATTTCATCATGAACTCAATAAAATGAATGCCTCAGCTGTTACAGAGAAAATTTTTAACCTGGTCCCAGTATAGACTGAAGTTTTTTAACTCATGTTCCAAAATGCGATCTTTCTGGGTCACGTAATCGGAAAAACGTGACAGCCTCGCTGCTAACAAACGACGCTGCGTGCGGGACGATTACATGCTGGGTCAGCTATGTGCGATAGCGACCAAAAAACGACTAGTGAGTAATGGAGCTTTCGGTGATCCGACAGATTTTTCTTCCAGCCTTTTCAAAACCTGTAACGATTTCTGCAATGACCATAGTCCTGTAGCTTATATATTACTACTATATATTGGAAGCTATTCGAAGTTGCCTGACTTGAAAATTCGAATAATGAAACAATTGAAGCAATGGACATGACATGTGATTATCAATTTTTATGAAAAAGCTGGTCAAATTTCAAGTTGTTAAGAAATCCTTTAAACTGTCAAGCAATTAAAAATTCATTCAAAACTTTCTTTTGTAAAATGGAGGACGTTTTCGTTGAGAGTGGAACCGTACGCGCAAGTTCTACAGTTCTACAAAGTTTCCACGGTACCTCATTGTCTCACTCCTACGATTGACCACGCTGGGTTACTCAATATATGTACCTCCACTAATAGATTTATATATGCCACTTACAGCATCATGAATAATTTCTCTTATTCTCCTTGAAAAAAAAGTATCGAATTCATCAGACAGTCGTAATTCCTGCTCGAAATTGTGATCAGAGTTGACAAAGTATATCGGCAAGTAACGATTAGAGAAGAAGGCATCGGTGCATGAGCGCATCGAATACAGATGATGATATCAATTGAAAACGAATCCTCCGTGAAAATTATTAGCATTACACAAATGTTGCGTTCACCATGAAAAAAGCCTTATGATAATAGTGTCCTAGAAAGCAGGAGTTGCAGGGACAGTGACAGGCGCAGAAGATGACACACAATTCACGGTGAGTAAAGCCTACCCACCTCGCAAATATCGAACGAAGCTTCAAAGATTTACGCCTCGATGTCGTAGACCTGAGGCACTCACTGCACGAACGCTATTTCACAGCCTGCTTATGGAAGCAGTACAAATATTCGTGTAAATATTCGTTCACTAACACCCACCACGCAGACGTGGTTTACTGATATATCTAAGCCATTGGGGGAGCACCAGCGCGTGTGTACTACCGACCACGGATGCTAGTATACTGGGTGTTGGTTCACGAAGAGAGGGACTCGAGAGGGCCAGCCAGCCACAGCAATATCCAGTTCATGGCTGCCAACACCACCACGATATTATTGGAACTACCGCTGCTGCAGCTGCTGCTGCTGCTGCTGCCGCTGCTGCTGCTGCCGCTGCTGCTGCTGCCGCTGTTGCTGCGCCGCTTCCAGCCAGCTTCGCTGGTGACTCAGTGGCGTCCTTTGCGCATGCTCCAACTCCCACACTCGTGGTGTTCTTTTCTCCGTGATTAATTAAGCAGTGAATATACCACGTAACATTAATGTAACATCTAATTCAACACATGTTAGGCGTGGGGATGGAATAATAATAATCTCAATTAAATGGAGTACCAGAAATATGCAATAGAAAAGCAGAATTCTATGCAGGTTAGATTCAGGGTCGCTGCCACGAAAATGACGTCATGAATATCGATCCCGGTTCCCCTCAACCGCCTCCATCCCCGCCCCCACACCCCCGCCCCAGCAGGCGAAGAGTCATTGAACACCCCCGCCCCCACACCCCCGCCCCAGCAGGCGAAGAGTCATTGAGGCGAACAACGAGCCTAAAACAACTCATTATAATTATCACAAACTCAAATAGAATGACTAATAATCAGGATCATGAGTAGTACTTGAGTAACAGATGTCGGATTACAATTCTTCCATCCTTGGGTACGAATTGATTTCGCTTAAAGGAGTTTTTCCCGATTGGCCTAACATAATTTCCTATAACATGTGATTTTAGAACATATGTTGGGGTTTGATGCTTGGGTATACAGAAGGGGCAAGTAACAGATGTGCTTGCACTTAGCCTATCGATCTAAAGTCAAGTAATTAATATAAACTTCTACTTCTACCTAGTGATACAAAGTTTTTAAAACAAACTTCTACTTCTACTTAGTGATTAAAAGTTATTAACACAAACTCTACATCTAGTTAGTGATACAAAGTTATTAACAAAAACTTCTACATCTACTTCGTGATACAAAGTTATTAATACAAACTTCTACTTCTACTTAGGTATAAAAAGTTATTAATTACTCGATCATTCACAAAAAACAAACTCAGTTAATAATTACCCAGCTTCAAGACCTATTAAACAAATTAGAGATGAAATTCATTCCACTCGCATCACGACTCCCGTATCAGAAGAATATATTGCATTGGCATATGGCATACTGAGATTATTACATGAATATTATCATGGAGAATCCTTATCTATCAACCAAATTAAACGATAGAATTTTCTGTGTTTCGCTGTATATTTCTTTGTGATTTAAAATGAAATTTATACAATTATTTAGCATCAAATTCATCCACACTCATAATTGATATACAATACCAGAGCTATTAATAACCTGTTGATAGTGCTAACCATTACCCATGAGAAGATCGTAGAAATATTTTTACTTCTAACTCAAAAGTTTAGCGTGTAATGCGTAGATTTTCGAGCTGCCCGAGTTATTCCATGAAAGCTCCATGCATGCTGAGCTAAATATTTATTATGGATAATATATGCACGATTAATAACTAATTTAAAGGTAAGATAAAATGACTAAAATAACATACGTGCAATAGCTTTATATTTCATATTTTCACTTATCCGTTTCTGAATTCAATTGATGAATTAACGATCACCATTGAAGATAAGGTTTAAAATTTGCAATAAACAAATTTAAAATTCCAATGAAGCTCGTCGCGTATGCTATGCCAAAGTATAATCACCAGCACAAATGCAGTGGGAAATTTATTCATAATTTTTTAGGAATAGAGGATCTGAGGATCTTATTACTATTAAAAAAAACAAATCTTACGCAGGATATGGGTAGAGGAACTTGTTACTATTTAAACACGAATCCAACATAGGAAATTGAAAACAAAATATGGAGACGCTTGAAAAAAAATTCATGCATTTCGGCCTGAAGCTGCGATCATTTTGCAGGTTTGTCCAGCAGGTGCAATGCAATCCTTGGCTTCCCGTGAAATAAAGTTCGTTAGCTGAATAAATTTTCAACGTTTAAGGTTTCAAGGTTCAACGTTTAAGGTTTAAGGTTTCAAGTTTAAGATTTCAAGGTTCAACGTTTAAGGTTTAAGGTTTCAACGTTTAAGGTTTAAAGGTTTCAAGTTTAATGTTTCAAGGTTCAACGTCTAAGGTTTAAGGTTTCAAGGTTCAACGTTTAAGGTTTAAGGTTTCAAGTTTAAGGTTTCAATGCATTTTATAGAATATACTAGACTTTCAAAACCTTTAACTTATTTTTTCTTGTCTCTATTTTTTTATCCAAACGGGAAAATGACGCCACTGGAAAACTAAAATATTTGGGGAGGGGCTAGAATATCAGTTAAGCTGATTATTAAGAAACGTAATGCTAAATGAGTTTGTCTAATTATTGAAGAAACGCCTGATGAAATAATTGTGAAATCTTACAAAAGAACGTTGAACGCACAGTCACCTACAGGTTGAATGCTGAGTAAATATGCGCTTTACATATTTACATACCTACACATTATTTATGTAATGTATACATACATATACATTACATACACACTATACACATTTACATTCACAACCTACCCTATCAAATGCGCTATATATATAAATATGTATGTTAGTATAGGTTGGCAGAATTTCTTCTTTCAAGCAGGTTTCATTGAAGACCAGAGAATTTGTTTTATTCGCAATTTTCTTATTATTTTTTTCAATATATCGAACTATATTTTTAGTTTGAACTGGCAAATCGAAAATCAGGTTACCGATGGACATTTTTATTTCGTTAACGACGTTTCGAATGTTTCTATCATTCATTATCAAGTTAAAAGGCGCATTGAGTGATGAAACTGTCTCTTATACACATCTAGATGTGTATAAGAGACAGGTACTTGATAATGAATGAAGTTGCATTCGAAACGTCGTAAAATTAAAATTATAATAAAATGTCCCTTGGAAACCTGATATTTGACTTTTCAGTTCCTATCAAGAGCTTAATTCGCCGAATAGAGAAAAACAATAAGAAAATTGTCAATAAGAAATACTCTCTGGTCTTCAATGAAACCTGCATTAAAGAAAATCTTCTGCCAAACTACACCAATATTTATATTTATATGTATATACGTGTACGAATAGTTTTTGTTCAAGGTGATTCTTGAGAGTAGATTCTGCGAAAATTTTCTTGATAAATATTTAGCGCGAATTTTGTTACCCTTTGTTGTTAGTAAATCTAAATAGTAAAGTTCAACATGAATTTCATAAAATAAAACATAAAAAAGCGTCACTGTAATTAATCGACGTCAATTTCGGAGGAATATATGTTCGAGGAAGTGATGCATCAATTTAAATAAACTCGAAAAAGAACCCGAAAGCCTTTTTCTTGTATGCTAGTTCGAAGTGCAAGACAAGGGATGGTATTGCTGATTTGAATGTAAATCAACGGAATTGCTGGAATACTGTAGTTTTTTAAATTAATTATGAGAAAGTAAACATAATTGGTCCAATTCAAAATCTGCCAATAGTGAATTCATTCATTCTAAATAGGTATTCTATTCAATTCCAGATTTTGAAAAATTCAAGTCTTCGTCGGAGATTGCAACATTTTCCGGACACGAGTGGCACCAATTTTAGGCGTACAACAAAAGGATTTAAACACACAAGAGTGTAGATGAGTTGCTGCTCCATAGGAGCAGCAACATAACGTGTAAAAAGTGCGCAAGTGGGAATGCAGCGTGTAAAAATTCGGCAGTGGGAAACGTTTTCATCATGGAAACTCATGACGGTTTGCATGATGAAAATTACAGAGCAAACTCTTTTTTCTATAAATTCGAAGGGCCGAAGATTCAACCCAATCAATAACATCGTGAAGGACAAACATTATTCAAATCCTCGGCTCACTGCGACCCAGTTTTGTTCTTAGCCGCTCACGGAAACTAGGGCACGGGCACGCAAGCGGCCGTTGCGGGGGCAGGAATTGTCACGGGGAATGGCGGGGGCGGTGTTAACATTATAAGGGGGGCAGAGGGGGGTTGTAGGAGGCGTGGGGGATAGGGAGGTATAGACGGGAGGGGTGGGGGAGGTGCCGAAGGGATGGGTATGCTTCTAATCAATAGTCGACGGCTGCTGAAACAGCTGCGGCCGGAAGAACAGCTGCCAGAGCTAGAACAGCTGTGACTGCATGAATACCCTATAGCCAGGAACAGTTACGAGTGCATAGACATTGAACAGCTGTAACAGCTGCTACCGCATCAACTGCTGCAAGTGCACGAATATGCGTATTTTAGTGCCGAGCTGTGACTATAAGTTAGATTATCCACTTGCAGCGAACATTGCGATCAGTTGAACAATTTGTGGCAGCAGACCATCTTAATCATTGCCAGGGACAGCAGATCATTAGGGTCGCTGCAGAATATCACGGTCATTGCTAGGGATGGCAAGCGGATCATTATGATCACTTTGTTGGCTGTAGCATTAAGAGTCCAACACAACAGGCCTTCACACGCGGCCAATACGCAAAGCCAATTCACGAAGCCAATACACGAGGCGAATAGAGGCAATACACGAGGCCCAGACACGAGGTCAATACAAGAGGCCCAGACACGAGGCCAATACAAGAGGCCAATACAAGAGGCCAAAATACGAAGCCAATCACACAACAATGCGGCACCTGCAGCCTCAGGCACACAGAAGTGTTCGTGAGCAGCTCATAATTGGAGCCATCATGGCGCTATATTGCGTGGACGAACACCACTTTAGGAGAGGATATAAAATAATTATGAAGAAGAGATCAATTAACACGTTGACTACGATTGCTTCATCTTATACTATTATTTCATTTTTTGTACTGTTTTTAAACAGGGTTGCCAGACGGTCATTTTTTCCGGACAAATTCCGGGATTTAGTTTTTCTCAATTGCGTTGGCCGGCTAAAATTTATGATAGGGTTAATTCCTAATTAAATTTTAAATACTGCAAAAAGAAAATGAATGGAATTTTTATAGTGAAACCTACAAATGAACTAGTATATTTTGAGTTATCGGTCTTTTTTTGGCCTTTTTTGTTCTCGGATTTGGCCAAATTTAGGCAACCTGAATTATGTACCACTACGTCCTGGAGAAATACATTTCGTGGTACGCATATGTACCACTTCGGAGTCAACGTGTTCACGTGTTCAGGCAACCTGAATTCTGTACCACTACGTCCTGGAGAAATACATTTCGTGGTACGCATATGTACCACTTCGGAGTCAACGTGTTAAGCGTTGATAAACAGGTTATTGAATGAATTGCGTGAGATTATGCGGCGGAAACTCGATAGGTTAGGGCGACGGCGCTGCATATTCTGCAGGCGTGAGTAAAAAGTTCTGCGGCATCAAAGGTTCTCTAGAGACAAGATATAGCTGGACCGTGTCGTGGTAAGTGATGTATAGTGCACACCAACGATGATGACATCATTATAACTAAACCGGTCATGCCCTAACACCACTCACTGGTCGTGTTGTCGTGCCCTAACACCACTCACTGGTCGTGTTGTCCTAACACCACTCACTGGTCGTGTTGTCCTAACACCACTCACTGGTCGTGTTGTCGTGCCCTAACACCACTCACTGGTCGTGTTGTCCTAACACCACTCACTGGTCATGTTGTCGTGCCCTAACACCACTCACTGATCGTGTTGTCGTGCCCTAACACCACTCACTGGTCGTGTCCTAACACCACTCACTGGTCGTGTTGTCGTGCCCTAACACCACTCACTGGTCGTGTTGTCGTGCCCTAACACCACTCACTGGTCGTGTTGTCGTGCCCTAACACCACTCACTGGTCGTGTTGTCGTGCCCTAACACCACTCACTGGTCGTGTTGTCGTGCCCTAACACCACTCACTGGTCGTGTTGTCGTGCCCTAACACCACTCACTGGTCGTGTTGTCGTGCCCTAACACCACTCACTGGTCGTGTTGTCGTGCCCTAACACCACTCACTGGTCGTGTTGTCGTGCCCTAACACCACTCACTGGTCGTGTTGTCGTGCCCTAACACCACTCACTGGTCGTGTTGTCGTGCCCTAACACCACTCACTGGTCGTGTTGTCGTGCCCTAACACCACTCACTGGTCGTGTTGTCGTGCCCTAACACCACTCACTGGTCGTGTTGTCGTGCCCTAACACCACTCACTGGTCGTGTTGTCGTGCCCTAACACCACTCACTGGTCGTGTTGTCGTGCCCTAACACCACTCACTGGTCGTGTTGTCGTGCCCTAACACCACTCACTGGTCGTGTTGTCGTGCCCTAACACCACTCACTGGTCGTGTTGTCGTGCCCTAACACCACTCACTGGTCGTGTTGTCGTGCCCTAACACCACTCACTGGTCGTGTTGTCGTGCCCTAACACCACTCACTGGTCGTGTTGTCGTGCCCTAACACCACTCACTGGTCGTGTTGTCGTGCCCTAACACCACTCACTGGTCGTGTTGNGCTTTTGCCCGGTCCGCGTACCTGACAAATGTTAATAAATACCAAGTGTTTACAAATCAAATAGCTCAAGATATAATTAGTTGAAAGTTTGTAACAAATTATATCGCTCAAGACACAATTAGTTGACAGTTTTGTTAACAAATTAAATCGTTGCAGACAAATTTGATTGCAAGTTTTCTTCGTAGAATATATCGCTCCAGACCCAATTGATTAAAAGATTTGTTCACAAAATAAATCGTAGTAAATAAAATAAATTAGAAGCTTATTGAAGACAATAATTGACTAATATAATAATCGTTAATCATTTCAAACTAAAGTAATAACAGATTAATAAGCAACATGAGAATAGAGACCGTCTCGCCATTTCATAAAAGCAAGGAAGACCATATCTTAATTGACTGAATAATAATTGGTAATTATATTGACTCATATTAATATTTAAGCAACAATAATAACAGATTAATTAGGCACCTGAGTTTTGAGAGCGTCTCGTCATAGTTCATATAAGCAAGGGAGACCATATCTTAATTGCCCATATCATAATTGGTTATTATATTAATTAAAAATAATTTACTACATAATGATTGGTAATTATATTGGCCCATAATAATAATAGAGCAATAATTACTGATTAATAGGTCACCTGAGTGTAGAGAGCGTCTCGTCATAGTTAATATCAGCAGGGGAGATGGCTGCCACCATGGCAGTCTTGCTGTTGCCACCAAGGTTCTCCCTCAGCAGCCACGTCAAGATAGAGTCTCGGTACGGGATGAACTGATCTCCTTTCTTCTTCTTTCCCGTCGGCTTGGAAGCCTAAAAATATCAGTTTTATCTATCACAAAAACAGGCTACAATTTTTCTAAATAATACGGAGTAATAAAAATAGTTTTGGGCTGCTTTCTCATCGCCAAATAGCAACCGATTTCAAGTTTAACACGACCGATTTTAAGTTTAAGTTTAACACAGCCTACTACATCCAGAAAATTTTAGTATCTCAAAAAAATATTTTAACTTATTTCAATAAAAATTAGAATTCTATGATGAAATTTCATCGATGGAAGTAGTAACATGTTGAGCGTCTTACAACTTCGGCGAGGGCAGAGATGACTTTGCCGAGGGTAGTGAGGGACTTATTGATGTTAGCGCCCTCCTTGAGACGCGTGCCCTTAGCTCCTGTTGAATCGGCGCGCTCTGATCCAGCCAAGTCAACCAGCGAGATCTGTGTCAAAGTCAAACGTAAAATAACAAAAATAAAAAAATAAAAAAATACAAAGAACCACAAAAATCAGCTTAAAGTATAAAAAAAACTAAAATTAGGTCAGACACAGTTATGTACACCAGCAAACGTAACAGTCCGCGTCATAGTCAAACTTAAAATAACAGAAAATTCACATGAAAAATCACACTGCACAAGGAAAATCTTGTGCAGGATGATTGAAAAATGAATTTCATGCACAAGAAAAATCTTTATAAATTGAAAGATGAAAACAAGATAATTAAAAATTCGCTACTAGAATAAATAACCCGTGGCATCTCTTCCAATTACAAAAAAACTAAGAAACTCGAAGCGTTGGACCCACCCCAGCCATAAGACCTCTTCCTAAAAGCGTTTCCATGAATATATCACCGTAAGTTCTATTCTTCCTTGCCCCACATAGGTTATTACGTATGCATCACAGCAGACCTCATAACCCCCATGTTTAGACCCCAGCCCAGCAGACCTTTGAGACGCGTTCAGACCAGAGGTCTGTAGTGCGGTCATGTCTACGCTGCGTGAGCACCATCGTGAAGACCGCGTGTGAGCGCGACGACGTCTCGTTCATGTTCGTCGCCGCCACCGTGCGCGCCTTGTTGCCTGCCAGCAAAATATGTAACATCAGAGACACTGGATTCTTCCGAAGTGTTGTCTTTAAAAAGTAATTTTTAAATGCATATTTTTATTATAGGATATAGTAGACTTTCAAAACCTTTAATTTACTTTTTCTTATCTCAAATTTTTTATCCAAACGATAAAATTACGTCATTGGAATTACAATATTTGGTGAGGGGCTAGAATATCAGGCTAAGCTGGTTATCAAGAAACTGAATGCTCAATGAGTTTGTCTAATTATTGAAGAAATGCTTGAAATAATTGTAAAGTGATGGTGAACAGTACGTTGAACGCAAGGTCACCAGCGGATTGGATGCTCAGGCAACAGCGCTACGTGTACGAATAGTTTTTATTCAACGTGAGTCTTGAGAGTTTATTCGGCGAAAATTTTCTTGATAAATATTTCGTGGAATCTTGTTACATTTTTTTTGTTAGTGAATATAATGAGTGAAGTTCAACATGAAATTTATAAAATAAGACGTAAAGATTAACGCACAATGTAATTAATAGCCGTCAATTTCGGAGGTATATGTTCGAGGTGATGCAGCAATTTAAATATTTAATTTCAATTTCGGAGGTTTAAATTTAAAATGAAACACCAGAGGAAAATAAGTCGCAGACAAAATATCTCGAGCCGCAGTGCCAGTATAAACCTACATAATCATCACCCAGTTAAAAGATAGATTCTCTCCCTTTGATCATATCACGATTCTCAGCCAGCGTCTTACCCATAGAAACCGGATAAATTGCAAGGGCTGGACAATAAAAACCGTAGAGTTTGAGATTGACAAAAAAAAACTGTTGCAAGGAAATAAGGCCTTATGGGATGGTTAATTAAGTAGGTTGAACTGAATTAAATAGGTTGAATTGAATTAAGTACGTTAGATTGAATTAAGTAGGTTAATTGACTGAAGTAGGTTGAATAGAATAAAGTAGGTTGGATAGAATTAAGTAGGTTGAATAGAATTAAGTAGGTGGAATAAAATTAAGTAGGTTGAATAATCGAATTAAGTAGGTTGAATAAATTAAGTAGGTTGAATAGAATAAAGTAGGTTGGATAGAATTAAGTAGGATGAATAGAATTAAGTAGGATGAATTGAATGACGTAGGTTAAATTGATCTCAGTATTTTGAATTTAATTAAGTAGGTTGAATTGAAATAAGTAGGTTGAATTAATCTAAGTAGGTTGAATTGAATTAAGTAGGTTGAATTGAACTAAGTAGGTTGAATCAAATTAAGTACATTGAATCAACTTCAAGTAGATTGCTCTGTGAAAACGCGACGATTTTTTTTGCCAGAATCTTCCATTAGTCAATAATTAGTCGGAAATCCAAAACATAATTAGATCATTCACTTTCTTAGAATGTATCGTCGAAACTTAATCTCATTCGCGTTCATGGGGACATTTGTAATTTACATGAATGACACTGTGAACCCAGATGACCCATTAGAATTTAATGCAACTTAAAAAGTCGTACAGTCGGGACAACAACGCTTGCAAGAAAACTATATTAAATAGAACGCTACCACCACCACCGCTACTATCGGCAGGACCATCCACCTGGATATGCAGTGACCAGCTACACGCAGCTGACGGTTATCATTATCAAGATAACCATTACACGTTTATCATTATTATGAGAACCATTACACGTTTATCATTATCAAGATAACCATTACACGTTTATCATTATCATGATAACCATTACAAATCGAAGCATTTCCCACCAAAAACTCGGGTGCGGGCCCTGATGCCATTCATTTAACGAGATAAATAAGGGACTAGAACCAAAGCGACATAATGAATGTTTTGAAAACAAATGATTTTCGCATTATTAATTATCGAAGAAAAATTAGTGCAAAAAAAAAAAGTTCCTTCACGCACGAAAATGATCATGTATGAGCAATGCTAATTGAAGGGAATGTCGTATTTTAATAGTTAAAATAATATTTACCACGTTAAAAATAATGCCGAGGAAATCTTAAATTTATATTATGATGGAGAAGCGATGGGCAAGTGATGGACAAGAGATGGCAAGAGATGGACAAGTGATGGACAAGAGATGGACAAGAGATGGACAAGAGATGGACAAGAGATGGACAAGTGATGGACAAGAGATGGACAAGAGATGGACAAGAGATAGACAAGTGATGGACAAGAGATGGACAAGAGATGAACATGTGATGGACAAAAGATGGACATGAGATGGACAAGAGATGGACAAGAGATGGATAAGAGATGGACAAGTGATGGACAAGAGATGGACAAGAGATGGACAAGAGATGGACAAGAGATGGACAAGAGATGGACAAGAAATGGATAAGAGATGGACAAGTGAGGAGGTATAAACTCCCAAAACTTCGACCGAACTAGCAAGTTTAACCGTAAATTTGTAGGGTCACGACTCCTCGTGTTAGCAGCAGGTAAGTTGTCGGGTCAAGAGGGCGGAAAAGTTTTAAGCTCAAGTTGGGGTCGTGACGGCCTGATCAAGTTTTTACCCTCAAGGAAACTAAAAATATTAGCAGAGATCTTCCTTCAAAAGTTTAGACTTGAAGTTTTAGATTTCTGATCATATATCATTATAGCTGAACAATTTTATTATATCAAAAATGTTATTTCTCATTCTGAAATTCATCATTCATCCCATATAAACATATTATCATTCAAGAATTTCATTGTTAGCCAAGTATTGAAACAGAAAACTTGCAGCATTTCACAGTCAAATAATGACAGGTCCATAAATTTGGACGCAACGCATTCTTGCCTTACATTCAATGGACGAGGCTACGACACATCAAAACGCCAGTCAAACTTCACTAATTAAGTCCTCATCGAATGTTAGAGAACAAAATGACCAAGGGACCTGCACTCACAAAATAAATGGGTCATATAGCTCAAAAAGCGACATATGTCTTTCAGCACGCAGCACAGATATGCCCATTTGCAGGATTAAACTGGGTTAGGATGGCCCATACAAGTGCAAGAAGTGCATCGCTATTTGGACAAAGTCTGTGTATTTTTTCCCGTGACCTGTGCGTGGGACACTGCAGTTAGCTCGCCATATTTTCGCGTGTTTCGACATGCATCGCATGGAGCTGGCGCCACGGCGGCGCCCCGCTCAGGGTAGCGATCTATGAAGACGAACCCAGGGGCAGCGTATCGAGCGACTCTTTAGCTTGGTTAGAACTCGCACGGCCAGCGCTTTGGTGATACGAAGAGAGACAAATTCAAGGCAACGTGTTGAATTTTGGTTGAAATTGCGGTTGGCATTGGTTTGGTTGAAAATTTTGGTTGGAATTGGTTGAAAGGGAGTTGAGTTATATATGTCGAGAAAAAAGACAATTAACAATCCAACCGAAAATTTATTCGACTGATAAAAATTAATCTATTAGAAGAAAATTATTAATATTTTTTACTGGGAATAAAACCCGATGAACAAACTCTCACCTCCTCCAAACATGATAGGGATAAATTAAAATTGAATGAAGTAGATCATGGCTTTTTCAATGAAAAAAAAAAGACAATAAATTTTCGTAAACGAGCCAATTAGCAGTCAAACGAAATAAGGAGAATTCCTCGAGCGACATTATGACGACACAGCCAACGCTGAGAGAACAAAAAATTTGCTTAAATATTCACGAATTGCAATTGCAGAAGAAATCTATTTCAAAAAGGAAAGCGACCTCAATAGGATGTTTTCGAACGCTAAAAGATTCGTCAAACCACGCACCCATTTCGTTGTTTTGGACAGGAACTTCACACCAAAGACTGTAAAAAAAATATCTCTGTCAACACGTATGCTGCAATTAAGTGAATTCATTTCGAAAGTCAGGTGCGTGTGTCACCGTAGTGAAAAGCAAATTATTTCAAGTACCTTGACAACTCAGAAAATAGAATTTGAAAATTTAAGTGCTAATAAAACAATCACACGTCCCATTATAATCGTAAACGAGTGAGATGCATTGTTAACACTTACACTGCAAGTTACTCGGAAATATTCTATCTCAGCTTGAGTCTACACTAGCGAAAACAACTCCGGATTTGCGAGCATACAATTACTAAAGATTATAATGATCACCAAGAGATTACAAGCAAAATTTCATGCTTGAATTTACCATGAAATTCAATTCGAATTTCTTCCACATAAAATCTTAATGTTTCACATGAACATTGATAAGAATTAGAACTTCTTACCCAATACTAAGAGGAAAAGGTTGATTGTCACAAGCGAATTTCAGATATCTGCAGTGGTCAATAATTGCCAAGGAGGACAAATTAAGTAAATAAAGGGCGATATAGTAAAAACTATACTATGAGATAATCATAATAAAAAAATAAAAAGCTAGTAACATTGAAAATAAATGCGTTTGAATTAATGGTTTATAAATAATCTCCTTCACACAACGGCTACAATTTCCATCCAAATGACGACATACGATCAAAAATATTCTTAAAATAACTGCGCTGAGAGCAAACTTCCACAAAATAGTGATACGCTGATATAATATGAATAAATCAGTGGTACGGCAATATAATGATATCACGAAAAAGTAGCAAATGAAGAAACGATGGTCAACAACTTTTTTCTTTCGCCGTAAAGACGAAATGAAAAATAAAATTCTAAATTGTCTGTATTAATTATTACCATAGGATGAACATTCCCCTTAATGATAAGTAAAAAATAAGTGGGTAAGAAGAGGAGACCGTATGGCACGCTTCGCCCACATGTTGATGACGTCATTGCTCTCCTTCATGGCCAATTAGAGGCTCTAACTACGCAAATGGGGCCTCAGGAGAGGGACATGGCCGCTGATGACAGGCCTTCAAAGTATCAACGGTGATATGCTTGCAAATTCTTGTGGTGGCCCAAGTTCTGCTATGATCGCAAGTTATACGGAGATAATAAATCTGGGTTTCACATCTTCCAATGGCCTACATGGGTTCCTATGGGCATCCTAATCAGAATGATGATTAGCTAATGTAATAATTATATCGCAATTATTTCCATATCTGACTTCATTTTGTGGGATACACATAGGAAAATAGAATGGCTGTCTAAGATAAAGCTTAAGAAATTATCCAGAACAAGAATGAAATTATTGTTCATAGGGAAAGTTAAACGATTCTTTAATCTATTTCTCTTCGAGTTCAGTTCATGGCTCAAAATAATATACACAGTGAGCGTATTCCGCAGAGTAACATAGAATTTAGGCCTCATTATTAGAGTTTTTGCTCGACCATTCTACTTAACAAACTCTCCTTAAATTTGCAATTATCATTCAAGAAGATTCAACTCGTAATGATAATGATAGCATATATAAAATAATTTTACATGAATGATGCTTTTCTTCAAATAATCTAAATTGAATATCCAACCAAATATTATGCGAAGTTACTAATGGTATGAATTAGAACAACACAACATCTATTCTGGAATTTTTACTTTTATCCCATTAAAAATTTAATGCGGACAAAAAATTATTTCCGGAATCATTGATCAGCTGACCAATGTTGACACTGGGATCCAGAAACTAAAGCTGAGACAATGCACTTATTGCAAGTAATTACTCACATTTCAACACATCTACGAAGTAGCACTTTCAAATGTTATTATTTATTTATATCATTTCACTTTATTTATAAGGAAAACACGGATTTGAATTGAATTTCTTGGCCTTCAACTTCGACGCCTGTGTTTCCTTTGGGACTGATCTACACAGAGTAAATCCGTACTCCGGAGTATATTAACGTATCCGCATTTAGAAATGTAGGGACCGTTGCTACTTTTTTCTTAGCGGTCCTTTCCATTACTTCATTTCATTATCATATTTTTTCTTTTAGAAATATGATAAACCACTAACCAGCTATCAGTATTAAAAATAATGTTCTTATAAAGAGTTGAATTCTGTTTATACTGTAATTCTGTAATACTGTAAAGAAAATAAGAAAAGAACAATATTAACTAACACAAAGTAAAATGAATGATCTACCTGTCCACTCAATATATTATTAAAAATGAGAATAAAGATCATGAACGCAGGAAGGTTGTGCTATAAAAATAGTATTTACAACCCCCGGTAACAGCATTTCTTTAAAAATTGACTGTTAAAAATAATTTCATATGTAATTTGAAAAAATAACTAGGCATAATTATGCTATTCTTTATTTTAACTGAAGAATCGTTAGTACAAATAAAAAATTGCAGTGAATAATTAAAGGTGTTATATGTTAGTAAAAAGTCTTAGAAGTAGATCAAATTAAAGCCAGTTTTGTCTCACTCAAATGCCCAATTTTCTAGTTTGGTAAGCAGGTAAGCTTATACCTAGTAGAAGGTACAAGGTAGAGTTTACATTTTCTCATGCCAAGACATTTTTAGCCAATTGATATAATATGGTAGATATTATTATATAATTTAGAGATCAACTTGTAAAATACATTTTTGCTCAAAAACTTAGGAGCATAGAGGCCAAGTTAGGAGCTATTGCTATATTAGAGCTTTAATGTTTTGAATTTACTTTGAATTGGTAAAATTTAATTTTATAATTGTAATTTTTATTGTCAATATCAACTGTTAATTATCTAGTATACATGTTTACTTTCAGTTTCATACATAGTAAAGAACATGAATTACATGTCAATAATAATTTCCTGACATATTTTAGGCTATGGGATTAGGGATACCATGTCTTCATGTAGTTTCCTAGTAGATTTATATGGGTTCATGCAGAAATACATTGAAGTCTCAAATATTCTTGCATCTAATTATTACTTAAGCTCCAGTGCCACTAAATTCTCTTAAAATTCAATGTTATCTATGTTTCAGTGCCTTATTTCATTCAACTTTCTTACTATTAAACTAGGCACTTTTTTAAAAATATGTTTTCACTTATATCTAAGAGCAAATTTCTTATTCCCCTTGAAAAACTGCTTCTAGCTTCTCCATTATGTTTAATGTCAAAAAAATTAGTGGCTTTTGAAGTGCAGACCTGTAGATTGCTGTCTTCATCAATAGTTCATTTCAAGGATGAAGTGGAGCTAACACACAAAAGGTATGCAAATTCTTTAAAGTGATTTTCTCCAATTGGTGATTTTTTTCAAAATCCAATATAAACATTAAGGGGAGCGTCTACCCTAAAAATTATCTCGGCTATTTACAGTCGGATCACTCTGAAACTTGGTACACATATGTAAAATGGAAAAAAACTCGCATTTTGTTCGNATACCATATGAACTTATTTAATTGCCTGTTTAGTAGGTACCATCTCTGCATGAAAAAACATTTCACCTTTTTAAGATTCAAAGGGACTCTTTGAACTTGCCATAGAAATTAATTATTAGATACCTAGCTGACAAAGGTATTGTCTTTTGTTCATCGAATCATAGGCATACATATTTATTAGAATATGGATTATCACAAGTAGCAGTATTCCTATTTCAGTATAGATGGGTTTTCAACATTACTCGTGTAAAAAATTGTATTTTTTTATGGAAACAGGTGACTGGCAACAACAATTCTTAGGTTTAGGTATAATTGATGATTCAGTCATGTCTATATCTTTGTTTATAATAACCACATTTCAGGTGGCAACACTGGACTGGTTGGAGGCAGTGTCCCTGTGTTTGATGAAGTAGTCATCTCTACATCTTTGATGTCAAATATTGAGAGTGTTGATGAGCTCAGTGGAGTTGTTGTTTGTCAGGTGCGTTGCTGCTTATCTTCTTACTTTTTAAAAGTCTAAAGATTTAAATATTAGGTATTACTTTTCACTGCAAACATCATTTTCTGTAACTTCTTGCAAAAAACAATGTAAGTAAATATGGCAATTCCTTTAAAGATAAACAATATTCATCATCAAGCACTTGCTAGATTTTATACTTTGCTAGATTTTATACTTTGCTATATTTATATTGTTATTTGACTCAGCTTATCTTTACCAAATTAATTGATTGCTCATACTGAGTTATTCACTTTATGTAGTGACTTTGAATTTCCATTACAAAACTCTATCAAAAAGGGGAGAATTCTAAAAATGCTGCAAGATACGTGAATACAACAGCTACCGGTAATCAATAAATAATTACCTATTGATTATTTGAGAGTTCAGCTTCCCTAATTGTTTTTAGATGAAGAAACTGTTTCTATTTTTCGCATATTTTCTCATTTATGGAAAAAATGCCATATTGTGCTCGTCATGTCTGTCTGTCCGTCTGTCCGTGACTTCACATTTTTTTATTCTGAGAAAATGCACTCTCTGTCACTCACTGCAGTGAGTACGGTACTGAGTTATATTTTTTTATTATCAATAGCATGTAATTAGATTATTTATTCTTTTTGAATCATATTAATTTTATTAATGGTTGGTTTTGCAGGCAGGATGTGTGCTGGAAACTATTGACCAGCACCTTGAGCAGTTCGGCTTCATGATGCCACTAGACTTGGGTGCTAAGGGCAGCTGCCACATCGGCGGCAACGTCGCCACCAATGCCGGTCTGTTGATGTTATTGGCTGCAGCCTGCATTATTTAAAATAATGAATCGTGAACCTGCCGTCTGTTTTGGAAGGAGTTGAAACTTGCTGCCATCTAAACTGGTTTGAAATCCCTCTGAATTAAAGATGATTGTCAGTAGATTCCTGACTGATCGCAAATAGGCTGCTTACAAAATATGAACGATTGACATTATATTACGGTACATGCAATGCTATCAGATTAGCATGTATTGACACTACATTACCATGCGTTGATTCAAAATAACTAATGACTGAAGCTGGATAAGAATTGATTGATATTAAATTATCGTTGATTAGCACTTACAGGCTCCAGACAAACCCAGAATAAGACTCTATTACCAAATTTAGGGACTAAGAGCACCACATATTGATGCTAAATTATCATAAACTGACATTAGTCAAACAACAAATAACACTTGATTACCCCAGAATATTATATTTAATGAATTAAACAATTACTTTATTTTGCCTGCTAATTTCCAGAAAAAATTGATAGAGGGCACTGAATGATTTACGCCCAGATTGAGAGCCATTGACTAAGCTAGGTATATGCTAACTAATATATTTCTCTCAAAATCTTTTCCCGCTCATAAATTAAATTTTAAATCCAACTCACCTATGTACTCCAACAGACAGTTTGTCATTTACCATAGAAAATAGCCTAAAATTACTTGTTGCTTAGATTAATTTTAGTTGGGAAATGTATAGTAATGTATAAACTATGCTGCTCTCGCTCTGACTAGCTTGGCCATCTTTTCTGAACTTGTATGTACAGTGAACAGTTTTTTTTATTTTCACGTAATGAATGATTTGGCTTTCGGACTATAAAATTGTATAGAAAATTATTCGTTTTTGAGCCCTTCATGAGAAAAATATCGACCACTAACACAAAAACTCCCTTTGGCAGTTACTAAAAACGTAGAAAAATCATTTCATCATGTGCGAGTCGTTTCCGATAAAATGCCGACCACTAGGGTGTTAATTCCAATGTGTTTTATTCGCAAATGTCAATGGATATCACCAAAACTTGCAGGAGGGCTGCGTCTGTTGCGGTACGGCAGCCTGCAGGGCTCGGTGTTGGGGTTGGAGGCCGTGACTGCAGACGGCACGGTGCTGGACTGCATGTCGTCCCTCAGGAAGGACAACACGGGCTATCATATTAAAAATCTCCTCATCGGCTCCGAGGGCACGCTGGGCATTATAACTAAGGTAGCTGTGCTTATGAATATATGATCTTGCATGTAATTGACTCTTATTCATGAGTCAATTATGATCTTGCATGTAATTAACAGGTAACTTTATGTAACAGTGGATTTCTTTACAGATGTCGAAACTGCGTCATAGGAAAGTCTATATAATGTAGCACTCGGTCATTATTGAAATTTATAGAATAGTTAACGAGATCAACTAAAATGACTAGGTGATAGTACTACTTCATTCTGCTCTAAATAGTACTATTGCTTAGGTTCTTAGGAATTTTAAAATCATCAACTTAACCCTCCTATGGTCTTCATTTCCGGTATATGACCCTGTGTTTTCAGGGCATAAGGTTGAAATTGCGAGTCAGTTTGACTCGAAGACGACAGGAGGATTAAACCTTGTGTTTCTGCTTCTCAGGTAGCTATCCTGTGCCCTGTCCGGCCACAAGCTATCAGCCTTGCGTTGCTGAGCCTCGACAGCTTCTCGACGGCCCTCGCGACCGCCTGCCGTGCCAAGTCCATGCTCGGCGAAATCCTGAGCTCCTGCGAGTTCATCGACGCCTCGTCCATGGAGTGCGTCACCAAGAACCTGAACCTCGTGTGTCCTGTTGCCGCTGCTAACTGCTACTTGCTGCTTGAAACTTCCGGTCAGCTTGTGAGGATACAAACACCTTGGCTGATTGTCGTATATAAAACTTATGATGCTCTTATTTTCTTATTTCTAGCCAAGATTTTGTTCCTGAACGTGCTTGGTTTTTATGAGTCACTTCTCTGCATGCTTTTGAACCTCACATAATGCAGTACCGGTCACTTAAATTCAAGTTTGTTTATAGACTTCGGATTTCAATTCATGTTCTACTTCACATTGAATTCGATGTGACTTCATTCTTTTTGTAAATATCTAAACTTCATTTATCAAATTTTCGCCTATAAGTACTCACAAGCAAGTAAGAAATACTCACTTGTATATTTCGGCATGTTGAAAGGCAGTATATAGCTTCAGTATGTTTTTTCTGAGTAATATTCCAAGTTCAACATTAATGGTGTAACATAATAATCGTAGTCGATTTCTTTGCTTATTTTAATTGATATATGAATCGGATGTTCCAGGTTCAAACGGCGAGCACGACCAAGCGAAGCTGGAGGCGTTCCTGGAGCGGAGCATGGAAGAGTCGGGCGTACAGGACGGTACGCTGGCCAGCGAGCCCTCACGCATGAGCAAAATCTGGCAGCTTAGAGAGAGACTTGCTGAAGCTCTGCTGCTCGAAGGTTATGTTTTCAAGTGAGCTGCCCCTGATTTCTTATTTCGATTATTTAATATTATTGCAAGTTTATGTATGGTTTAAATTTAGGCGACAGTATGATCAATGGTTGATGACGTTAAGTTTTAACTTTTTGTAGTAGTTTTAAGATCATCAATCCTTTTATTTTATTTTTTTTTTGATAATTCAAAATTCTTACGAATTCTACTTCTTCTGAATTTTATACGTAATTGAATAAATTGAGTCTAACTGCCAAGTGCTTCAACATTCTTTCCCTGCAAAGTTCTGTCTCAAATTTGCTAGGCAAATTTATGTAATTACTCTATGTATTGTAATAATCGATACAATCTAATTCATGAAATTAATCCTCTTCTGTACTACTTGTTTTAGCTAAAATTTAGTCATAGTTGAAGAATCATCAACTTTTTTCAACTGAACTTGAAAATCAGTCATCTATGGACAGGGTCAAAATTATGCTGCACGTCCTGAAATATTTGATGCTTATGTTAAAAAAAAAACATATTTTCCCTACTCACTGAAATTTTAAAGGAAATGGATTTTCAGTCTGCAAAATTAAAAATTTTTTCTTCTACCACTCAGGCAAGACATCTCGCTGCCCCTGACCGAATATTATGCTCTGGTTGAGAAAACTCGCTTACACCTCGGAAACAAAGTGTCGCGATGTTGTGGCTACGGACACCTCGGAGATGGCAACCTACACCTTAACATCACCGTCCCTCACTACAGTCATGTGAGTAAACTACACCTTAAAATCACCGTCCCTCACTAATTCAGGTTGTCCGCATGCTGGAGCTCTGGCTGAAGATCTTCACGAGTAATTGTTTGAGAGATCGCCGTGAGATTAAGCCCTGCACATTAATTTAGAAAATTCATATTTCATTATTTGAGGGCAGGGAGTGACACGCATGCTTTCTCTTTGGCTGAAATAACTTCATATGAGTAGTTTCTTGAGATCAAACTCCACGTATTAATCTGGAGCCATACTTTCAAAACTCGCTAAGTGAACGTAATTACTTACGCTCTATTTTCTTGTCTGGGATTGGTGGATTTTGCTTGAAAGACTTTCAATGATTGGCTGATAAACTTACGATCTCTTAACTTTTATTGCAAGTATAGGTCCTGATATCATTAAAGTTTTATTTTGTATTTGAGTGCAGGAGGTTGCCCGCATGCTGGAGCCGTGGCTGTGGGAGCAGGTGGCCGCGTGTCGTGGCAGCATCAGCGCCGAGCACGGCTTGGGCTTCAAGAAGCGAAACGATATCCACTTCTCCAAAGCCGCTTCCGCCGTCGCTCTCATGCAGCAAATCAAGAAGCTTATGGACCCCAAAGCCATCTTGAACCCCTATAAATGCATTCCAGATATATACTAACTCATCTTTTTAGAATCTGGTGATGTGAGAATGTTTTTGCGTGCATTTGAAGACAGTTTCAATCTACCTAACATCGTGAACAAAAATTGAATTCTCCTGAATCTATGTTTAACCGCAAACCAAACGCGAAACTCATAGATCCTGAATCACAATTAAATGCCTTTCACATATTATTTATCGATTTTTCGAGTTGATCGATTGTAAAGAAACATTCACACCAGCCGTGCAAGGCACCTGCCATGTCCAGGGTGCGAATGCTTCTACAGAAATATATTTAAGAATAATGGACTGGACCGTGACTTTCATATGTCCGGCAATTTGGTGTGAACCCGGCCTAAAAAAGAACAAATTTCCTTGAGATAAATTGTCTACTCTCTCAGGCCTATTTGATACTTCCTGAATATATTCGAAAAATTTATACCTCAATACAAAGAAACGTCTATGTCTGTCATGTGGGTTATATGTCTTATATTAAGTTTTACCCTAACGTACAAAGTTCAGCCTTTAATACAGCAATTATTTCATTGCTTGCAATCATTTCGCGCTCATTCTGTCAAGGGATTCACCTTTTATTTCGTTTAGGAAATTTATAAAGTTAGATGCTCAGTTTAGTTCATTAGTAATGCTCAAATAACGCCATTGATGAACCTGTAGCTTAACCTAGATTTCATCTTTCGGTTGTTCCAACTCATGAACAGTAGATTGTTGTTATGGTACAATGTTCCTTATTTTATTGTGATAGCGTGCATACAAATATTTCTCATTGTTATTTAAAATATTGTTAATAAGTTAATTTTTTCGTGTTTTTTTGTTGGTAATCTAATATACTCTGCAGCTAACTGAAGTATTCAATGGTTGTAAAATAACTTTGAATTCGTCCAGGCAAGATGGAGTTTGTGATAGTGTATGTGCTGCTGTGGGAGATTCGTTGCGTGTTTCGCGTTCGTGGCCTGTATTCGTACAACTCATGGGCTTGTATCGAACCCATCTTCCTTTAACTTGTAACAATATGAACAAAATGCAGTAAAAGATTATTTATTTTGCTGAAGCATTCAAACAAAGTGAAATATTATTTTGTTACGCGTTTCAGAGTGAAATTTAGTCCTTTCGCTCCTGCCATCTTTACTGTGTGATCTCATGTAATTTAAATGCAGCTGCCAAATATGCTGCATCAGGGAGAGTTTTTCGTACAAATATCAAATATTTTTTGAGAAGCTTTTTTATAAATATTACACACTTTTACCTGAATTAAATATTGTGGTCTACAATTGTTGCTGTTTCATGTCTATAGAAGTTAAGCTAAGCATCGGTCTTCTTGTGTAAGGAGGCTGCAGCGTGGGGTAACTCGTGTGCTGATGATTAGCATTTGTGACTTCTATATTGATTACTGATAATCATGTCTAGGGCGATCATAAGGTATGAAGTTATGAATAAAACCACTGTAAATTCACAATTTATTAGGATGTACATGTCATCACTTTCGCAGACCTGTAACGGCCTACGGTGAACCGCTGCAACGCTCCATTCTTCAAGTAATAATTGCTTAGAGAATTACTCCTTTATAATATTGAACAATCTAGGCATAAAAGCCCCGTACAAATACAAGAAAAAGTGTATAATTATAACAATAAATTCACGTTCGCAGCAACATGCAATATTCGAAGTAAGGACCTAATCCCAATCACGAGCTTGTTGGGAAATACCTAGGGCTGTTGTTCAACTAGAGACTTTTTTTGCGTGAAATATAAAGATGCTTAATATAAGAGTCTACCCAATCAAAAATCTGCTGATTGGTCAAACGAAAAGACAGAGTTCCTCTGCATTTGATTTTCTGCACACTAATGGAAGCACATTGGAAGACATACATCAAGAATGGATTGCATAAATTCGCCGTCATTCATAAGCATGTGAATGATTAATTATCATTGGAAATCATTCAATATTCCAATGATTCATTATCATTGTAAAAATACAGTACACAAAACTGGGACACTCGATAACGCTTAAATTGTGGAAGAAATATTGTGTAAAAGTATATCTTCATAAAAGAATTCACTTTACCAATTTCTGGTAAAGATATCACATCTAATTATAGCGAGGTGAGACAACGGCTTACGGTCGGCTCCCGATTATGCGGTTCTCATTTACTCCAAAAAATAATGGTAATCTGGAAATTCGGATAGATAAGTATTCTGACTTACACTTCCTTCTTATAAAGCCTTTGAAATGCACTTTTCATCAATATTCCCTATAATGAACCGGTATAATTTTAAACACTACGGATATTTATACTGGTCCCGAAGAAAAATTGAAACACAAAATTACACTTGAACATACACAGTTCATTCTCACTAAATGTGCTGCAGGAACATGGCCTCTGAGTCCATGTCGATGAGGAGTAGAACGTCTTCGACCATCAGCGTAACGGCGGCCTCGAACGTCCCTCCGACCGTGACGGTCGCCACGGACGCGTCTGCAGCTCCGAAGTCTTCTATTATTGGCTTGGGTTCCTCGACGTCCAAAGTGCCGACGTCATCCATCACTGGAGAACGAACAATGCTTACTTCATTGCCATCAAGTTCCAATGCGACACTAAAGTATAGTATAGTAATATCGGCGCTGGAGAAATATATCTAGACCCATGGCCTGTTACTGATTCTTATACTTTTTCTATCTTGTCTACGGGAGATCTAAGTTGTACATCTAAGTCATCTACTCGCTAGTTATACAAACAGTTGAGTGATCTTCAAGATTTTCTTTATCTTCGCCTGGATTTGAAAGGTCAAACAAAGTCTGTGTGCTGTGTAGTTGGGTGCAAGTAAGTGAGAGCTTTTGAACAATTACGATACTTGAGTGTTGGGCTGTCATAGGTAGTTCAAAAGCAAGTAAGATGCAATTCGCCTTTAACACCATGGGGTAGTTTTGATATTATTTAACACTCAATGAAGAGCTCTAAAAATAAAGAATTTCCAGCTATTATAAAGCACTGTATTCACGAATTCAATGGGCCAAAAGTAAAAAAAAAATACTGTAGATCCGCCAACTAAGCTCAACTGCAAATGATGTAAAAACATTAAGTGATAAATTTTAACGACAGATGTTACAATACTAGGCTGGTCATGTCTTGAGTCTTCCAAATGCGATTGAAGGATTTTTTTTACATTGCAAAAAATTTCGTACTAAATTTGAGCCACATTGCAAACTAGCAGACTAGCCCGACGTTGCCTATGATCGATATTGCATACAATTTTGCAATCCCGTATAAGTGAATTAATTTAATGTTTATTAATTCTAATAAACAATAATTGTTCTTACTATTGATTATTTATTATTTAATGAGCCTTTTTTAAAATCATAATTTACAAGCAACTCCTCCCATTTGACTACCGTTCAAAATATTGAAAAACATTTTAATTGTATTTCAAATCAAATTATTTGCAACTATTTTAATCACAAATGACATTTTTTGATCCAATACTTTCCTCATATTTTCCATTTTCTAAGTCTAATTATTCTCCCTCTAAGATTAAATTTTCAGGTCTTGAGTGACATCAGGACACGATAAGTATACTGGATACGAACCCTACCAGTCCCAATTTTACCGAAGGTGCCAATTTCATAGATTGATTGAAATTAGATTGATTCGGGTGCCCAGCTCTTTCGTGTTTTAAAACATACGGAATAACCGTGTATCGCAACGTAACAACGTATATTTAATGATATTATATCTAGAATTCTGTATGAATGTAAGTTGTAAAATAGACACTTAGTTATGTTTTAATAATTCGGCTCCAGATTACTCGTGTACAAATCCGATGTTTAATCCACGGATTTGTCACTATGCATTTCATTTACTTAAACGACCGAGATCTATAACGCTTTAAAGAACTTTATATATTTTTTACAAACATTGAATTAGCATAAGAACATGGAACGAATGACTTACTCTTTAGAAGCTAAACATCAAACAGAGGTAAATTTTTATAATAATATTTATAAATTTATAATAAACATTTATAGAATATAAAAAATATAACTCATGACTCACTGCAGTGAGTGACAAAGAGCGCATTTTATCGTCAACAAAAACTTGAGGTCACGGACGGACGGACAGACGGACATGGCGAGCACAATAGCGAATTTTTTCCATAAATGAGAAAATGCGCTTAAAATATGGAATATAAATATTGGCTTCTATATTGTATATTAAATATAATATAGAATATAAAATGAGTGCCGGTAAATAAAAAAGTGTACTTCAACTCAGTGAGTTTTGAGCAAGTGAGTATGAACAGCTAGACATATAATAAGCGGAAATGAAAATGTGGAGAGCGAAAATTGTGCCCCAACTTGCCGCGGGGCATGAATCGATAAATCTTAATTTTCAAGGTTAGAAGCGGACAAAAATTATTTTTCCGTCTATAGGTCATAATTTATGGGTGAAACCTTATAACTTTGTTATAGTGTCATCTTAGAACAACTTCCAAAATAAAACTTGCTAAAAATATTGTCATGCACCCCACATTTCGCGAATTTTGGATGCACATTAGGAAGATAACATTACACCCACCTTTTCCTACCACGACCTAGGTCGCACTGAAGCAGCATCAGCATCAGCGCCACAGCTCGACCTCGAGCAGCTGGCTACATGCCAGATAAACTCATGGGAAAGTGCAGCCGCCAAGCTTCCGATTAGAAGTAAATAAATTATCAATGTCACAGTAAACATACGAAGTTTATATGGTTGTCTGATGAGGACAAGAAACTTTGCACCAGTTGTGCTCGGGTGCTATATGCTAATACGCATCAATGTTGTGGTAGAAATATTTAATTTATATTGAGTTCTCCTCAAAAGTGATGAGCGAATCCCAATCGTTGTTGCAAAATGAGCAATTAAATTATCATGTTATTTATCATTTCGTGCCATGATTGACATAATTCGTTCCCCCCCACACTAGTGGCAATCAACATAATATATGGAAAATCTTATTCAATTATATGCATTATGCCACAAGGAATATTATTACCTCTATTTTTAACTATTAAACAATTATTTTGAATGCAGGTTCGCAAGTTTTCAGGTTTACATACGCAAGAAGCCATACATCATGTTAAACCTTAAACCATCATAAACCTTAGGAACAATAAAATCATTTTATTTCTCCTTTGTTTGTGATTCCCGCATTAATGACTATTAGGAATATTAGTAATCATCATCTCGTAAATCGTAATAAGCGGTTATTTGATGTACCAATTCTGATGACCATGACGTTGCCGGTCTGTGCCGTTCTTCGTCATTCTTCAGTCAACAGTAAACTGATGAAAGCCCCCAACCCCCAATATTTTTCAATCACAAAAAATCCTACCAACACTTGATAAAATTATGAAAAACGCTTATTATAAAATATGCTCCACTAATCCGCCGATTTAGACCTTTTTACTCACCGACATTAGTCCATCACTAAGTGAAAAACTTGAACTCAATTTTTGGGTGTAAATACTTATTTGTTTCCAACCTTTCGTCACATTACCAGTCTTTAAAAGGCCCCAAAAATGCAAATTCAAATTACAAGTGGACATTTGACAATACAATTACAAGTGGACGTTTGACAATACAATTACAAGTTATGGAAACCAAGAACTGTGAGTTAAGTCACTCTCAGAGGTCACAAGTGAAGAGATTTTACTACGTAAATAATATTAAATGAATGTAAGATAATCAACCAAATAATTATAATATAGTCATGCTTCTATTCTTCAGCGCCGACTTCACTATGAATTTGATATGATACGATATGATATGACACCGCGTAATACTTACTGACCGCGTTGTTGCCGCCAGCAAATGGCTCAAAATGAAAATAAAATCATTAAACAATTAAGCTGGTAATTTATTGATATATCAAGAACTGTGATGAAGAAGGATAAACATGGTGATCCTCACGTCATCAGTTTCGTCACGCCTACGCTTTATTTTCAAGTCATGTGGAAAGGTAAGAATTTACGCTTTCAATTCATGTGGAAAGGTGGGGTGGATAGCTAGAGGTCAGCATAGCCCAAGTCCACAGTGCTATTCATATACCTTCCCGAGCGTAACACAGCCGGGCATCTTCACGGCTTTTGACACAAAGCGCCACCATAACAGCGCCATTCAGTCACAGGCCGGCGCCCAACTGGTCGGAGCGCAGCAGGCCCTACCGCAACAGCTACTCCTAACGTAACGTAACCTAACCTAATCTGCGCCGCCTGTTGCGGTAGGGCCTGTTGCGCTCCGGCCAGTTGGGCTCCGGCTCTGTGAAGTAGTGGCCGTGTTGTGCAAAGCGGATTTATTGTTAGCCGGAGTTACCCACAGCTCATTGATCTGAGGCTATGTGTAGTCTGTAGATATTGCATGCTGATGTTTGGCGTTGGGCCCAGGGCCTGTTTACGAGTAAATTTTGTTACCCACGGCTGCGCTTCTGAAAGGTGAGAAGTTTCGCACTGTTGCCGACTGCCGAGCCGAGTCTGGGAGTGGGACTCTGGGAAAGCTTCAGCCCGCTGAAGGTTACGTCGCGTCGTTGGCTCGTAGCCTAACGTAGGTATAGAGTCGTAGACGATTCCTGCCACTGCCAGACGCCAGTCAGTCATTAAAATTGCTGGCATGTCCGCCGTCAGGTAACTCATCTCAGTTCTTGTTAATTTTATCGATAGGACCGTAGGACGTTGGAAGAAGAGGACGTGTGGTGGCAGACTGGCAGTGGTGCCTTAGATTATTAAGATTTAACTGACGTGTTTGAACCCTAGGTACATAAATTCTAATGATTCTATGACTAACTCATACGAAATACCTATTCTGCTATTCATCAAATTCATTCATTTGGAATTTCGAATCGTCACCGACATTTTGTTGCACTCATTTTGAAAGCTCTAATTACTACTTGCCTTGGCGGCTTGGAGCCTAATGATACCTAGGTAGCTGATGCTGAACATTTCCTGACAACACTCTGACAATGGCAAACATGAAAAGTGGAAGGGTAACACTTAAAAGCTGAAGACGCTGAAGTCGCTGAAGTGGCGAACGATTGATCGATGGAACGCCGCGGCTGAACGAATTCCGCGAATTTACCAAGAAGTAAAGTAACGTTTTTCATTATCCTATGTTGAAAAATTAAGCACTCAAACTACGCATATCTCCTTTTTGTGTTCTACAAATCAAAAAGTTAAAAAATCTGACAAATAACATATGCTGAAAACGGCACTATACTCATGTTCATACAATTAAACTTATTGCCTTATCTTGGTTTGAACAGTCGAATCTTACGACTATGAAAGCATCTTATATAAACAAGGCGGAAATCAATCAATCACATTTCGATTTAAACCACCACACAGCACTATCAGTAAAACTCCGCACTCGACCACAACATTTAGCACTCGCCAATAGTGCATAGCGCAAAACGGCCTCTTACGGTACTTCAGCGCTTATATCTCAGAAAATATTCAACCCAGAGAGTGCGGAGTGATGAAATAACGTGAATCAATTACTTATTCACTGTAAATAATCACTCCGCACTCGACCACAACATTTAGCACTCGCCAATAGTGCTTACCGCAAAACGACCTCGTACGGTTTAACTACTTCAACGCTTATAACTCAGAAAATATTCAACCCAGAGAGTGCGGAGTGATGAAATAACGTGAATCAATCACCTTATTTTAAGGTGAATCAATCGCAATCAACATTTTCGCGATACCAGTAGGTTTAACTCTTTATTCGTCATCGATCGCTATACCAAGCGTTTCTGAATCATGTTTATGGTGTTATTTTCCGTAGATTTAATCGAGATTTACCCCTCCGTTGTCGTAGTTCGGAGTTCGGACGAAAGGCAGGTCTGTCCTATGGCTATAAATCTTCTGTGGGTCCTCGATAAACATCCCGCTCCCCCTCCCCACACACTTTGCAGTCCACTCAGATTTCAATGTGCTTGTTTGGTGCTTGTGTGGCTTTTACTAATTCACAAGACTGACAATACATGTTTACATGCATAGTCAATAATATGGAAATGTTGTTAAGCTGGTCTTAAATGAATGTCATGCGTTACGATGATTACTGAGAAATAATCTTAATTGCGTTTCAAAATATGAAGCAAACGAATGCATAAACAACACAATTCACACAACAATACAATCAATGGAGCGCTCATGTCGATAGGCATGCAAATTTTAAATCTCTAGTAATACAAAATCTTTAGCACAAGAAAAGGGTAATACAATCAATGTTGGGAATCCATCAGTTTAAATAACTCGAATTTCTTATTTAACAGAAATGTTGATCCGATGCTCATTTCCGTTGCGTAGTAAGACTGTCCTAAACGACCGTTCCTTACGTGAAAGCTTGCGGCCGTATTGTTGACACAAACCGTACTACAGCGGTCGCCACGCGTCCCCGCGTTTGCCTTTCTCAGTAGCTCTGTCTTTATAGCTGTCGTCTTAACAAAGATAAAGATAGTTCCTCAAAAGTTGTTTACATTGTTAAATAGGCCTTGTGACCGATAATTTCCAATTGTCCGGATGTCGTTATCAATACAATCATAAAATTTGAATCGGGCTCTTAGTCTCTCTCCTATCTATACTAGTAGTCAGAGGTGGGCAGTAGCGCGCTACATGTAGCGGCCGCTACTAGCGGCCTCTACATTTTCAGTAGCGGTAGCGGTAGCGGCGTTACATTTAAGACAGTGTAGCGGTAGCGGTAGCATCCGCTTCATATTTAAGTAGCGATACGAGGTTTAGCCGCTACCGCTACATTTATAGTTGAAGCCTTTAGATTTTACTGACGCCTTAGCAACGTTTAAACAGTTTGCCGTGTCAATGTCGCGGTGAAAAAAAGTTCAGTATCGATTCATCGAGTAAATAGATTATTTGTTCATAAGATGAACTTTGAAGAAAACAAAAATTGTTTGTTTTGCAATGATGCATCAACGAACTTTGATGGCCTAGGATCCGCACTTGCCATTGTATACATCAACGCACGTTCATGTATCATTTCTAATAATTATATTATCTAAGGGGACGATATAGCTACTATTGAGTACCGCACCGGGTCTTCTGTGATGGAAAGATGCAGTCTCAATCATGTTTGGTTGTGGCAGTTGGCTTGGCTTCTACTTAGAAATCCTGGTAAAGCTTAGACGCAGCACGCGTTTAAAGTTTCAGGGCCACCCACGGTCCGGGAAGGAAAGAAGGCACTGAAGGGGCACTTGACAGCGCCGAGAGAGAGATTTATGAGCTTGCGGTTCCCTCACAAACCACTGCATGGGCATGTTTTGACTTCAACAATTAAGGATACAAACTTTATTTGAACATGTAGTCTCATGTAATACTAATGTAGCAGTTGCGCATATTTATTGGCAACACGCTTAAAAATGTTTAATTTGAGAAATAATATAATTTGAAGCATTTATTGCAATTTCTGAATTTATTTTCAGTTAAATTGATCAAAGAACATCTAATTATTGTGCATAACGGATAGTAAAGCGTTAGAGATTTGTTGTATTTATATTTATTAGAAAAACATCGCAAGCAAAAGAATTCTCAGGTCAGCCTAGAATATTCTTGATCAACAATGATGAGTTAAATTTATTTTATGTAAAGGTTGCCATTAATTTTGCACGAGGAAAATAACAATCAATTACAAAATAAGATATATCTGAAAATA